TTAAATTCACACTTAATTTGAATAATATGTTGATTTACATCTACTCTAGGCATTAGAGCTGGACATTGTAATGTACGTCATATATATTGTTTAGCTCATTTTTGCAGTTAGGTTATCTGCTGTATTACGTTAATGATAGTGTGTTTTTCTACAAAAGAATATTAGAGAGGGAGGAAAGTGTACCTATTTTAAGATCAAGACAGATAACCCAGCCTGAATAAGGGTTCACTGACAGCACAAATAACCCACCGAAAGAACATTCCAAATTCTAACGAAAGTGATGCAGTTGTCATAGACGAGAGGCTGCATTGACAATAAAATTGCACCAATGTGTCTTATATTGCCAAGAAAAGTATACCCAAAAAAATCTAACCTCCAAATCCTTTGTTAAACCTATTGTTTGGGATGCCTATATAGCTTTTTTATTTTTGTCAAGCATGGTTTCAGGTACATAGTTATGTTGTAAAGTTGTACTTTTGTTTTCTAAGTTAACAAACTGAATTTAATTTGTCTTTTAACATATTATTTACAACCAAACCAAGCTAACATAAACTAAAATATTCTCTTATCTATAACAATGATTCTTTTAACCTAACTGACTTTTCTTCATATATTAAAGGCTCAAACAATACTATTTAACATCTGATCTGAGTGTGTATAATAAATAAATAAAAAGAGAGTAAAAAAAGGTTTACTAATAAATAAAAATAAAAATAACAGGGGATATATTGTTCAGATTTTCCCCCAGCCGTAATTTGAGACGAAGGTTTTTAACAAGTTTTATTGTTTAAATTGCGTAAATTATAATAAAATGAAATGTGATAGAATAATTAAATTTCATTTCATTTAATTTTCTTTTTCTAACTCTTAAATTGTGGGATTAATATGGGATGTGATTATTATTTTTTGTTATTATATTTATCAACATACTATTTTATCCCTTTTTAATCTAAAATCTCACGTGTGATCTTCCTTCTTCACCAGCTGAGTGCATGCATCCATTAATGGGTGTAGACGTTCTTTCCCCTAATTTTCTTCCTATTTGAAAGTAAAATTGATGTCAATTATTTGAGAAGAATCTTTCACAAATGGTCCAAGTTGCTAGCTAGTCTTAGTCAGTCTAGTTGTCTTACAACATTGCATGTGTCCTCGTTTTTTGTTAGTTGCGTTCTTTACAAAAATAATGCAGTAAAGCAGTAATCCAAATAAGAAAGAGATTCATTTATAATAGTAAATTTTAGCTACTTTTTTTTTCCTTTCTAACTGATAGCTGAAGATTTTTTCTTCACAAAAAGAGTATTGAAATAAATACTTATTTTACGCTATAAATATCATATTATTGATTTCTAAATAAATTAAATATTTATTGGTGTATAACTTCTCTAATCAATATTTTTATATAAAATTTTAACAAGTTTTATTGGTGTATAACTTCTCTAATCAATATCTCCTAAGAACAAAATCTGAGTTTTCATACCACTAGAGAAGTTAGATGATCAAGACGTTTGCAACATTCATAGTAGTTAAGAACATCAAATAACAGAGAATATTTAACAAAACAATTCACGCAAGCAATCCAAAATTTTGGTTGTCTTATAACATTTCATAATATGCAATTTTAGATTCAACTGAATGGGTAATTTCACTTATCTGGAATTTACAATAGGCTGAACCCACTACTGTATAATAATCAAGAGTTAACTAAATATCATTATTTGACAAAAATACTTAAGCTCCTAATTCTCAACAATATTTTAAGATTAATTCATTTAAATTCGTCAGTTCTTGATTTAGAACAAAGATATCTTTACTCAAATTTCTACGTCAAGAATGAAGTAACAAGGGAGACAGCCAATCGTACACAACAAAATTATAAAGGAGATCTCAATAATGAAACCAAAATTCTCAACAATAAATTAAGATTAATTAATCTAAATTCAGGAATTTTGATTCAGAACAAATACCTAAAACACATCTTACACAAGAGATATCTTCACTCATGATCATACATTTTTAAGTCAAGAATGAATGTAATAAGGGAAAATTTCAATCAAACACAAAAGAAAATTATAAAGGATATCTAAAAAGTTAAACTAAAATTCCTTTCAACTTAATTTAAATTGATCACAAATACTTAAATTTTCAACGAAAAATCATACACAAATATCACAAAGGAAGCAGAGTATACATAAGAGAGAAAAAGAAGATGATAATTAAAATAGAAAAGAGAAGATAAACTTCTTATGCAATATTCAAAACTAAACATATAATACAAGAGTCTAACAGTATGTTTGTTTTTCTTTTTAAAAACACATTTTTCTCTTATTAAAAAAAAATAATGCAAATGTTTTATTTTATTTTATTTTTAAAAATAAAAAACTTTTTTTATAATAGAAATTAAACATGCTTCAAATCTCCTGAAAATACCTCTATATTGACTTTCAAACCCAAATTATATTATTTTATTGAGTTCTAAACTTATTAATAAGGCTTAAAACTAGTCATCAATGTTTATGAGAGTTGGAAAAAAAAAAGTCGACAAAATCATTCACATTAAAAAACTAAAATCTAAATGTTAATATTTTAAAAGAAAGTGTCATTTTTCAAAATAAAATAATATAATATAATTTAGGCATATCTAAAAGAAATGTATAGTTTATTCTTTTATTTACAGGAAAAGTCCAATTAGCACTAGAAATAAAAGGTACACACTCAATGTCACTCATCATATGTTTCCCTTTTTCCTCCACTGTACATATTGACTTTGTGATCGGCTCTTTATTCAAAATATGGACTGTATCAAAGAATTCTTGCTTATTTTCTCTGTCATTTGAAATACTTCGGTGTATCATATAGAAGAGAAGAAAAAATCAGAGTAAAAAAATAGAAAAAAGAAAAGAAAGGAAGAAAAAAAAAAAAAGATTATTATTATTTATATTATTTGAAACTGATAAAAATAAAAAAGCAAGAAGAACAAAAAATAATCACATTCATGAGATAAAGCATTACAATGTGTATAAGTGACGTATTAAATGAGATAACCTTTTTCGTATGGGAGTGAGGGGAACAATGGTTAATATTAAAATAAGCCATGTAAGTTTTTTAATCACATAATTTTTTTAAGTGATCATGCAATTTTATAAATTTTTTAATTTTAATTATTTATGTATAATTATAAAGTTCAAATTTACTTCTCCCACTCTTGTATAGAAAGGATTTTATCACTGGATGATGCATCCACTCTCTATATAACACTGATGAAAGGCACTCAGAATACAGCAACAGTTTGTGAACATTACCTGGGCAAATGATGTCAAAAGAAGTTGTATGAATGGGGAGCATGTGTTTACTACTGAGAACCACAGATTACAAAACAGAATGTGAAAAATCAGTGGTCCTAGAGATGGAATCGCTTAAGGCTGCCTCAAGTACTTTGGTACTACAACAATCAAAGAGGGCTTATGCCACATCTTAACGCGAAAATAGAAATGTGGTCCATGCTGCTGAGAACTAACAAATGTCAGACATTAAGGTACTACTACCACAATCCAGTGCTTCTGTAAGAATAGCAAAATGTACTTTTAACAATAAGTAATAACCATCCACCTCAATAAGCATCAATTTCACTCACATGTGTTTCAATCAGATTATTGTTTTTTCACAAGATATAATTAAATTATAAAAATCTTCCGGTATTTGGTAACTGTTTTGACTTTTGTAGGCTACCCAGTTGCACTGAAATATGAATAAGAAATACCAAATCCAAGTAAGGGGCTGGCATAAATTTTAAAATAATCAAAAGCAAAATCAAAACAGAAGTTATGAGACTAACAACATACCCAGCAAAATTTGTCTGGATCAAGTAAATAAACCAGGTTTGTGTCAAAGTCGATGGTTTTCTTTTTTCTAAAAAGAAAATGTTATCCATTGATCGAAATCAGTGGCTAATCAGTGTGTTTTCAGTTTTTGCAATGGAATCATACATGTGTTTTATTTCCAGATTCAGAGATATAGTTTTCTACATGATTGATATGTATCCATAAAGAAACTCGAGAAGGGAATTGAAAAAGATATACCACTAATGAAGTCTCATCAGCCCCTAGAGAACATGCAATGCTTAGCGCTCGAGGCAGATTTTCAAATCTTCCATTGTATGGGACAAAAATGGTATATGGTAATGGATGAGTAATTCTAGCAATGCTATTACTAACAACAGATAAAGTCATTGATCCAAATTGTTGTTGAAGGCAGAGGTAATGATAAATACATTAATGGATCAAATGTCACTGAGAACTTTCTACAAATAGGACAAACCAATGTTGGTTTATATTGACCCTGCATAAAATAATGAATATGATCCATAAGGCCAAAAAGCTACCATCAAGAAGAAAAAGATCTTGTAACGGATGAAGTAATAAAAAAGTTTCAGTTATTTTACAGATGACTATAATTACTCAGCAATTTAAATGAGCCAAACTTATGAAAATAACCTTGTAGTTTCTTTATTAAAAAAAAAAAATCTAATCGGAAACTAAGCAACACTGGGGAAACACGCAACATTTTCTTCTTTACCTTTTTTCTGTCACAAGTCAAGTTTATCACGGCCTTTTCCTATCACAAAGCTATTGAGATAAATCTCAGTTTTATCCCCTATTCATTTGTAATACTCACATTTTATAATAAGATAAACATATGCCGCAATGTAAATTTAAAACCGAGAGTAATTTGGACATCCTAATTATATTCAGTAGTTCAAAATTTTACAAAAAAAAATTCTACCTAATTTTAGAACAAATAAATTCTATCTAGTGGAGGCAGACTTGTACTGTCTTTAGAATCAATTTTAGAGATAATATTAAGTTCACTCAAACAAATGTATTTTGTTTTGTTTCTGATTTTGGTTTTGTTGTTTTACGGTCTTAAACTCTTTATCGGTCTTCAACGAATCAGAAGCACGGTCAAGCTAGACTAGAAGCAGAAGCGCACGGTTTCTTCTGTTGATCTCTAGTTGTTATAGATGGTAGCAACAAATTTATCCGACCCATGCCATCCTCTCGAGCTAAACATGGTTTTTATGTGGTTGATATCAATTGGAATATTCTATTTCTAAGTTTTGAATGTTATTGACTGTCATAAGCACAAACAAACAAACATCCTGGCGGTCCTACATCTAAACACACAACATCACGTTAAAGTGTGCAGCTTCAATGTTGATTACATTTACAGAACAGAGCTGCTAAGAACCGTTGATTTGAATTGATGATGGTACGATGACACAACATTGATGATGTCCATATAAGCAATTTGAATTGCACCACAGTAGAGCCCCAAATGAGAGGATGAACCTTTGGGTCAAAAATCAATTGTAGTAGCGCGAACCAGTGTCATAGACACGCCCCCCAGGATACGGACCTCTAGCCTCAAATCCTTGATCTCTAGAACCCCCAAGAAATCGAGCTCGCTCTCTATAAGGATCAATGTGATCAGCAGAATAGCCTCCTTGTACGTCTCCACCTGCAGCTGAAGCATTAACATTGTTGTACCCATGAGGGTCTCTGGGTGCCATGCCACTGCTTGGGTAGGGACCCCTTACGGTTTGCTGGTACTGCTGTTGCCTAGCATGTGATTCCCTTTGAAGCAATTCTGCTCTGCGGCTGCTATATCGAGCACGGAGTGCTGCCAGTTTTTCTTCATATTGAGTATTGATTGCATTTATTTTCTGAAAATTTAAGAACAAATGGAACATTATTGAAGCTCAATGGAATTGAGAATTTGGTTTTAGATAATATATAACAAAATCTGCAGAATTCAACATGAATACGATTGAATTCATGAATATGATTGATTATCATGATCGTGGCCAATGTGCTGCAAAAATCCAACTTCAAAACATATTGCATAGATTTCTTAAATACAAGGAAAGGAAAGATGCAGGTGACAAAACTAGATCAAGTGGTGACAATAAGCTGACATGTGAAGCTATCTCAAGAATAAAAAAGCACCACTCTTGCAAAGGTGATTTCATGCATCCATTTCATATTCAAAAAGTATTCTTAAAATAGGTAAGAATCATTTAGCTAAGTTAAAGTAGTATCAAGAACCCAAAATACTAGGTTAGGTCATAGTTTAAAAGATGCAAAAGGAGAAACAAGTTCGTCTAATAAAGTTTCTCTTTTCTTTGCCTTTCTGTTTGGATCATCACCACATTTAGTCATAAAAAAATGAGACTGTCTTAATTTTTATAGATATTATTGACTATAAACTAGCACAAAACACGCATAATGATGCCATCTCAGCCAGGTAAATATACATGCCATAACTAAGACAAGTCATCAAATGAGAACAGGACAAGTTTTTAAAATGAATATTAGGAATAAGTTTCACACCCTGGAACACTATTATTTGACCAAAAAATCTAATTGATTTCATTGTTCTGATCATTAGTTTATAAAATCTAAATGCCCATGATGCATTCTAGACTGCAGATGGCTGTGTGCTGATGCCCAAGTGGTAACCGGTAAGTTAACCTAGTGAGGCCTGGAATACCGGATTGAATCCATCAAGGGTGTTGCATGACTACAGGTTCATCCCAAAGAAAAAAGGTATATAAGTCATGATATGTGTAGAAGATTTTGGGTATTTCAAGAAGACAGTAAAAAAATACTGTTTATGCTTAACACAAACCTCTCTGTGCCTGGCATATTCTGCATCTTCAGCATCATTCTGTTCTTTGGTGAGTTTCATGATGTCATCATGAAAATTCTGCTCAAGACCCTCAAAAGCTTGTGATAAATGATTTCCTTCATATCCAACATCAATATCTGCTTCATGAGCCTGAGATCTGGAATCATTACTGCTCCGGTTCTGCAAAGCCAACTTAGGATCAGGCCTCTGCCCTTGAAAATAGGGCCTTGAAGCATCACGCCCTTGACCTACACTAGAAAATGCAATGGTTCCCCTAAGTTTAAGAGTTTGAAAACTACTTCCATGATATAAAAAGCAGACCGATAACCAGGCATTTTAGACATGGTAGCTAATGTTTTAATGGTCTCAAAAGTAAGATAGTTTCTGTAGAAGTGCCCATGTTTGCTGAACTAGTATATCATTGTATCCAACGGAGATGACATCAAGAGTTAAACTCATCTTACATAGATTAGGAACTGCATTGTAGGTCCTATTATACACCATTAATTTTTTGGATTGTTGAATAAAAGTTTTGTAAATTTGGTTTTTAACAGAGCTCAATAGCGTCGTGTGATCCATGTAACCGGCCTCACCTACTAAGATAAAACTTGATTGTTGTTGAATAAAAGGTTTGTATAAATGCGGAATGTGAGTTAATTTTCATGATAGCATTTATCGTATGCCTCAATTCTAGCAACAAAAAAAAGTGGCAAATATACCATACACACTCCACTCCTCTTAAGTCTGCATTGTAGGTACTATTAAGTTTTAGTGAAAACAGCCCCTATAAGAAAACTATAGGACATTATATGTTTGTCTATCTCATATAAAAATATAAAATATATTAATTAACCTTGGAAAATATGAACCTATTCATTTCGCCAACTAACCACTACTTTTAATTACAAAATGAAAAGTTGTAAAAACGACATCTAGGTACAACTTGACACTATTTGTGTCCATCACGAGATATTTCCAGTTTAATGATTGCTTCAGTCTAATCCAGATGCAGCACATAGCTAGGTTAATAGAAGGATAAGCAAGCATGAAGAGGTAACAAATAACACATGCCTTCACTAAACATTCGAGAATTCATTGAATTAGACATCTTTGACTCATCCGTTTCCCATCTCCACTGACCCTCTGGCTTGGAATTTGCATACAGATTCTCTCTCTCCGGAGTAAAGGTCTCTAGCCGTCCTTCAAAATTACCAGACTTGGTCTCCACCCTTTGACCAGCCATATGATGATGCACCTGGGCACCAACATAAGCATTGGCAGATGGATCACCATACTGCCCCTGCCGTCTCATTGTCACAAACAACTCCTATGTGAACACAACCTATGAGACATCAAAGCCACAAAATCTCAAACCAATCACTCAACCACATAAACCGCACTTCAATTGTACGTAATCATGCATGTATTTATATTCTGGTTTCATATGAAAACGCTCCACTAACAAACTGAAACATATATTGCAGAATATTTCACAGAATCATACAAAATTTGGGAACTAAAGCTATATATTTAAGTGAGAGAACCTGGGGTTAGAGAAATCGAACTAAAAATTCAAGAAAATCTAAGATGGCAACTTATTGCATTAAGAGATAATTTTTTTAACGAAAAATGAGAACCCTCTATCTCAGTAATGTTATCAAGATAATGTACCGAATCACCAGGCAATTTGATGTTTTTTGATTATCGAGCTACGGAAACGAAATAAGAGAGAAATTGGAATGTCGCATTCAATAATCGAACGGAGAAAAAGAACCGTTAGTAGCTCGTAAGCATGGAGATGACGAGAGTAAATTGTGAATCTGAAAACCCTACTCACGATGGATGAAGGAAGAACAGTGCGGCTACTTGCAATACATAAAAGGTTTTTAAAATTATTATTATTATAAAAATATATTTATTTTAAAATTTATTTTTAACATAATTTATAAATATGTCATTATTATTAAAATTAATTAAATATATTTTAGTATTGATAAAAAATAATTTAAAATGTATAAACAAATTATTAGATAATTTATCAAAGAAAAAATATATATTTAGTTTTATATGAAAAGCATAAATCTCTAAGTACTGAAAAAAATGAGAAAGACATATAAATATAATAAGAATAAGTATAAAAACTGTTCTCAATTTATAATCTAGGTAAAACATGGTAGAAAAATTGCTGATTTTTTTTTAATGAACACTAAAAAAAGGTTCCTAGAATAATTTGGGGAAGGGGCATCCTCTTTATTATTTATAAAACCATATGTTGCAAGAACTAATTTTTCGATATGTAAAGATGAATATAATTAATATTTGTTGTATTTAAAAATAAGATTGAGTTTTTTATTATGTAAAGAATAATTCGTAAGTTGCCAATTTTTTTCAACATTTTAAAGCAAAAAAATTTGTTAAAGACTTGTTTTTTAAACAAATTAAAAAATTTAATAGATGTTCATGCGGTTGTAAGATTTTTTTATATATTTGTGTATTTAAAAATTATATATAATAAAATATGGTGTTTTTTAAAAAATTATGAAAATATGGAGTTTAAAAATAATCATTAGTGATTTTTTGTGTAAGTACAAGAGTAAGATAAAAAATAAAAAATAAATGATGAAGTTCCAAAAATTGTTGATAGCGATTTTTTTTTAAAATATTTTTCTTTTGATAATTGTTACCAAATGCTTGCTTTTGAATCTCATAAAAAATTTAGGTAATACGAATGTACTTTTATAAAATGACTTGCCAAAAAAAATTATTTATTTGCCATTTCTTTGTTATTATTTTTATTTTTTTTGGCTGTCCAATAACATTTTCTGTGCATATTGGTAGATAAAGTTAGTTTATAATAAGTTCTTTTCTAAAGAAAATAAATGTGTATTATCTTTCGAACTTAGTGGGTAAATGCACTTTAAATTATAAATACCATAAAACATATTTAGCCCTGAGAAACCTTTTCTCGTAAAATTCCATGCGTGCCTTCGACCTCAAATTTCACATGGAACTACATTTTCTAAAACGGTCCTGAAATCCCAAGGAAATATGATATTTGATGTCTTTCAGTTTACATCTTTAAGATTTGATTTTCAACTGTCAAATATTTCCCTATTCAATTCATTTGGTATGAACACGTTCTGGAAATCATACTTTTTAAGTCCACACAAAAGAAAGATTTTTGCCATTGACCTTAAATAACATCACTTGTTCATGTCATACCCAACCGTGATTATTGAGATCTCACGTCCACTACAAATATAATCAAAATAGAACTTATAAATACTAAAATAATTCTCAACCAGTAAGATAGCTTTTAGAGTTAAGTTAAATTCAAAGTCCAAATTGAAGAGTAAAAATAGACCATATTGGCCTTACATGTCATCTCTTGTGAGGTGAAGCACACATTACAATAAAACACTTGACAACAACAAAGCAAAGGAGTACCCCTTATCAGTCATGCAAAGGGAAACATCACATATCAGACAACAAAGATCCAAGAACGATTTTAAAATTAAACGTAATGCAAGTTAACACCTTGTCCTTGTCATCTTTCATAGTCATCTTCAGAGTATAGGATCCCTGCAAAAAAGAAAAGAAAACATTAAAATGGCAACATGGAAATAAACCCAATAATGTAATGTTTGATCAAAACAGAAAAGTTTTACCTCAACAGAAAGTTATTATCTAAGAAAAGGATGATTAAACCAAGAAAACAAAGTTCAAGAATTTTTTACACTGTGACTCTGAACCAAGACCCAATACAATATGCGTCAATTGATGTTGATTGCCAGTCACCTTATCCATGTGCATTACCTTGAATGCTCAGATCAAGCTTCAACCCATACAAATCATGAATTAACATGGGTAGACCCTTCTCCCTCAGCAAGTGCCAACATGACAGCTTTTTATTACACATATTCTAGTAACACATAACCACTCATAACTAGCACATATTCTAATAGTAGGCAAGTGCTCCTAACTCTTCTACTTGTAATTGCCAACATAACAGTTATTGTCCTCATCACTGAGATCTATTGTTAGATAATAACTGTCATAACTGCTCCTAACTCTTGATTCCCATCATCAACACAAGGATTGTATTGGCAATGCCATTCTTCTCAAGGGAAAACCTACATTCAGTTGAGGTTAGCTGGGATTTAGTAGAGTGCCACTGCTACACCGTGCGAAATGCACATTTAATCCCACAATTCCTTAAGCAGGGTAGTGATGGTTGCGTTGAAGGCATGACAGTTAGCAGAAGTATATGTGCCACTGTTCCAGCACCTTCTCTAACTTTACCAGATCCATCTCCCACCTTCTTCAAGCTTACTTTTGCATGAAACTGTCACCCTCTTCTTATATCCTATTATATCCATCCATCACTGCAAAAATGCACCTATCAGTCCAGAAAATCCTTGTACCTTCAGTCCACTTCCCAGTATGGCCAGGCTTAGCTCAAGTGACTGGTTTGGTGGATATTTTGAAGAGATTTCTAAGGCTTGACTCCAAAAAATAAGAACCAAGGGCTTGCACATTTATTTATTTAAAAAGTAAAGCATGTAGCTTACATTTCAGGATTGTTCTTACCTATTGGAGTTTAAATGCCCCTTGATAATCAATCATAAGAGTCATCAAACCAATTGCAATGGGAAAGGACTAACAATCACACTTCTAGACTAGCTTCTTGACATTCAATAAATTCAAAAAAAGGATTTAGAATCTTATAAGGAACTTTAGATGGAAGCACGAATACCTAACAAATTAATAAATTAATTCATGTGTAATCATATGTGTAAATGGATCCCAATAAAATTGGATGTTCAAGAATTAACATTAATTAAAGATTTGAAAAGAAATTTATTAATCTGAATTTTCAAGTAAAAAGGAGGTGTAACTAAATCAACAACCGCCAGGTCTTACCCCACTAGGTGGAACCAACATTGATCATCAACATTGCCTGGCTCTTGAAAGAACAAAAGCCAAATTTTCAGTAAAATTATTTTGAATAAGGTATTTTCTAATGGTTTCTCCATAAGTTTTATTAAGTCTTTATTTACCACTTTTAATCAAATTATCTTCCACTTGATCAAATTTCTTGCTAAAGCTTCTTTTGGTGTTCTTCTTGTAAGTCCAAACAACTTAGATAAGTCTCCATAATCTTCTCAATATGTGCTGCAACAAATTTCTCCCCAATACATTTGTTGATAATCTTATCTTTTCCTGTACATCTAACCATCCATCTAAACAATCTCATCGTTGCTACACAGTACACTTAGCATTTCACTGCCAAATATTCTCTACCATAGAGAGCAATGGTTAACAGTTGTATGGTACAGTTTTTCCCTTGGTGATCACAAGTCACGCTTTATAAATATTTTTCCATTTTATCCACCTAGCTTGACCTCTATGTATGACACCCAATCACATTGTGAGAGATCCAAGATACTTTAACCATGTAGCTTGTAGTATATGTAACGTCCAATTAAGGAAAAACGGAAAAAGTGAAAATGCTTAAAATGATGTAAGGAGCAGAATAGAGAGAAACCACAGCCTTTTCTAAATATCAACCTACATATCGAAACACCTTAACATATTTTGCACTACTAAAAACATATTATACGAATAACACGCTTCAATTGAACCATCAACCTGCAACCCAAATCCTCAAAACATATTTTGAAATATTAATGAGTTACAGATGTATGCTGAAGAGATTGAGCGGCAAAGAACATGCTATTAAAAAAATACATAAAATTATCTTAATATTTTGCACTAAAGAAAAATTGGGTGTATCTTGCCACTTTATTTGGCATCATGTAAACTCATCATCATAATAAAGTGAACAACCAAGGACAAACAACTTAGCAGAAAGAAACAATATGAAGGGTATGATTCAATTATTTAATTAGAAAATTGACCAACTAAATGCTAGCCATAACACCACACCACCAATCCCTAAGAGGAGGACCAGGGGAGTGTGGACTAGATGTTATTATCCAAAAGGACACAGAGAGTAGTGTACTAGAATATAGATACAGTACAAAGTATACATCCACCAAACCTGCCCAAGAAAGTTACACAACAAGCTAATTACTGTCAAATTATTTTTAGAGTCACTACCCAAAAGTCAAATTACATTTTTAGTCAACCAAGATTCCAAATTTAGACGAACAGAATGTGTTCCAACATTACATCGGGTCACCTCTATCTCTGTGACCATCATGGATGAAAAATGTATTCCAACATATCACCTATTTTCATGTTCACTAGTGGTAAAATAACTTTTCTTTACATTTAGGTGATATATGACATCATAGAGAAAGAGAATGAGACAACATTTTAAAGTCTATTTGCATAAGGAAATCAGTTGTGTGAAAGCAAGGTAAGTTCGATCTTTAGAATGTCTTCAGCATTGTGACTAAGAATGTTTATTTCATAAACTGAAACTAACCGGTGGAGTAATCGCAGGCAATGTTTGCGTATGAGAAAGCAGAAAATTCCCGTTAGCCACAGGACAGGATACTTCTTTACAAAGATCAATTTTTTCAGTATGGACAGTCACCCCAACATATGAAACTCCAATTACCACCTGTCCACCATAGATAGCTTGACCTGCATGAAGGATAGAGAGAAAAACTCCACATTTATAATTCATTAAAATAGATAAGTGACACATTAAATTAATAAGGAACAAACGAAATGAGCAAAATATAATGATAGGTTGTATAAATCCTCCAAATCTTTTGTGAACAACGGGTTTTTAGATGAATTATTATTATTATGTTTACACGTACTTAAAAACAATCTTAAAATATAAGTAAGTAATGTAACTATTGGTGGTCAACTTCACATTGAATGCAAGGCAATGGTATGTCCTGTAATCACATAAAAATACCACTGAGCACAAATAAGATAAAATTTGATGGAAATTTAAATACAGCAAAACTAGATGAAAAAGAAGAGAGAAAGAGAGAGATACCAGAATTAGCTGAGATCTTAAAGGTGACCGGCTTGCCACTCACCACAGGGTTTGGTGATATTTCAATTCCAGTCACCTTCACAGCATAGTCTGCCTTCTTATCTACAAATATTTGTTAGCAGAAAATTAAATAGACAGAAAGAGATATCTCAATCTAAAACAAATCCGAAACATAGGTATAACTGCTACCAGCACTACACGAAATCACAGTCACCAAAATTTATCTAAAATAACAGATTGATATTTAAAAGAAAAAAGTTTTTTATTTCACAGAAACCCATTAAAATTGAAGGATCGTGCAGTTACTTCCAAATGAGGCGGGGGTGGGAAAAGGGTGTAGGAAACACACTGTGCAGATGAATAATTATTATTAACAAAGAACACTGAAATTAAACCTGAGCATATATTAAGTAAATCTAATCTTGTACGGATCGAGATTAACTCCCCGTCCCCCTAATCAAAATCATAATAATATCTATATAAAAAAAAGTCAAAAGAAAGAGGGGGGGGGGGGCGTAAAGTACCGCAGTATTTGAAGCTAACTTTAGCCTGAGCATGAAAAGACGAAAGAAGGAGAATGGATAGGGTAACAAGGTAGAAATTGGGAAGAGGTTGAAACTCCATGGATTGTTGAAGGAGAAGGAAGAGAGTGTGTGTAGAAATTAAGAGTGTGGGAAGAGACACACAAACTTTCTGCTAAGGATTTATATAATTGAAATATACAAGGCCTTGCGCATAGGCCCCACGTGACCCGCATGCCATACAAAGCTTCACCTTATCATGTGTCTAAGCTAATACGTTATAATAAACAACCCCACTTAACTGTTGATTAAAAAAAACCATATATATATATATATATATATATATATATATATATATAATTTAATTTTCAAAATAATTACTAGAAATGATGAATTCATTAGTGTTCAAAGAATGTTTAATAAAATAAAGTCAACACTTGTGTTACTGGTGTGTTGCTATCTATGCATTAGAAACTGACAATTGAGATATTTTGATGGTGTTGTCTTTTAGTGTTGAGATTTAAATATAAAATTTTATTTTATATTATTTTGATCAAAATTTAAAATTTTAATTTTAATTTTCTTTTACATTCAGTTGATCACAAAAAAAAAAAAGCTGTTAACAAAAATATGGCTTAAGTAAATATTTCTCTCATTTTTGACAAATTTCCTTCAATGATTAGGATAGATTTTTGTTTCATCTAACCTAATATGTTTAGGACGACTTATGAATGCTGAAAATGAATAGTTTGATAACATGTCAATATCATAAAAAACAATTATAAACTATTTTTTTTTTTGTTATAAAAATGAGCTTAAAATTGGAAATTTTGTTACAAATTTTTAATCATATAAAAAGTTTTAAGTACGAGCTCCTCTAATCATGTCAAACGAAGCTTTGAATGTTATTAAGCGAGGAGCTTAAAAATCTTACAGCATCGACACCCAGATCGATACAAGTCAGCATTTATAATATTATAAATACCTGCCCAGTTATTTATGGTGGTGATTTAGTTTTACTGAAATTTATCAAATTTCTTAGGAGAATATATTGTTATCTGCGTCATTTTTTTTTATTTCTTGAAAAATATTCAGATATTAACTTTCCTCATGTAATTTGACGGAAGGATGTGATGTTTAAAAATAGGATAAAAAATTGAAAAGCAATTTTGGGGAGAATGCATCTGAACTTCCCTTCACTTCCATTTTTTTCACCTTTTTTTTTTCATTCTATCTTCTTTCATTTCATTGGATCGTAGCTTTAAATCTGAGCCAAGGTTTCAGCCCAAAAGGAAATAAGATGATTGTTGTTTTACTGAATTTTCCCATGAAGTCGCCTCTCAGAAGCTTCGTTAGCAAACAAGATGAAAACAAGGGCAATAAAGTTCCAATAAGCAAAAACAGAAACACTTCAAAAAAATTAACCAACTTATATAAGTGTCGTATTTAGGATGTCAAAATGGAAATTATCCCTTCGACAATAAAATGCAAGTCAAACATTGTTTACTTCCTCATAAATTCATATTCATTCGATCCAACACTACTTATCTTTAGTCCACACTATGGTTACGGAACATCAACATTATCATAATATTCATCATCATCATCATCAACTCTGATTCTAACTTCGCCGCAAAAGTCACTACTGCTGGGCGCACTGTACCCTCTGTGCGCCACCAGGCATATCATCATCCTCCTCATAAGCCTCCTGCTGAGCTTGCTGCTTCCTCCTTGTCTCCTCCTCCATATTGACATCATGAAGTGTAGTCTCCTCACACTCATCCAGCTCCATGTCTGTCAACTGTGAAGAAGGTTTTGGTGGCAGAACAGCCTCCAAGGCCTTAACCTGATCAGGATTTAGAAAATCAGGGAATTCCACTGTGAAGTGAATATAAAGCTTTCCCTTCATAAATGACCTCTGGTACATTGGCATTCCCTCATCATTAATAGCCTTGTATGAATCTACATGTATAACCCGCAAAAGAAAGAATTTCCTTAGCACATAATAATATAACCAAATTTAGACTCAGAAAGGTCAGGTGTGAATCATTTACATACCAGGCTTGACAACTTCCCCAGGGTTTGATTTGATAAGAAGTTGACGTCCATCCAAGTGAGTCAGCACAAATTGGAAGCCACATAAAGCCTCAGTGAGGGACAGTGTGTGCTCAACAAAAAGGTCTTCAGCCTTTCTTCTAAATTTTGGATGTTCCTTCTGCTGAAGCACAAAGACGATATCCCCAGTAATTGTGTCTGGCTGCAAAACACAAACAACAGACGATTCATTATAAATTCAGTACTCCATGAAGCTGAATGTCAGTAACACTATGATTCGCATGCCAGCATACCGCCTCATCAGCTTCACCAGGGAATGTAATCTTCTGCCCATTCTGCATTCCCTTCTCCACAATAACCTCAAGAACTTTCTTCTCTTGCACAACCTTCTCTCCCTTGCACTGTGGGCAGCGGTCTCTATCACTAATAGTTTCTCCAGTACCCTTACATTCATTGCAAGCATGCTGCATCTGCTGAATCATGGACGGACCAAGGTGTCTAATGGAAACCTTCATACCAGTTCCTTGACAGCCGGCACACTTCATTGAAGCCCCAGATTTAGAACCCTTGCTGTAATTAATTCACAAACAACAATATGTAAGAAAATCATGTCTAAAAATGAATCACACTTGCTCAAACATTGCAAAATCCATACTAAACAGACACTAAAGATCCAAATATTCACTTAAAATTAACTATTAACCAAAAATAAGTTCCAATATACCCACCCACTGCACTTAGAGCAAATGATATTTCTGGACAGGGAGAGCTTCTTGGATGTCCCAAGGTAAAGATCCTCCAGAGAGACCTTGAGAGGGTGAACCACATCTTCTCCACGCCTCTGCCTCCGACCTCGACTACTACCACCTGTTCATAACCCTTAATACCTTAAACACAAACAACCCACACATACAATCATAGATGAATCAAATAAAGCATCCTTTCATTCATGATAACCGAACCTGATCCAAACGGACTCCCTCCAAAGAAAGAGGAAAAGATATCAAACGGGTCATGGCCACCACCACCACCCATTCCTTCCTTAAGAGCATCTTCACCGTATTGATCATAGATTTCACGCTTCTCAGGGTCACTCAGAACCTCATAAGCTTGAGCCAGCTCTTTAAACTACACCCAAAATACCAAAAAACACGATTAAGCCTCACTACAACAGCAAAACCACAGTTTAAAACCATTCACTCCAACATCAATACAATGCAACTGAAAATTTTAACACTTCTCCCTAAACAAGGGAAACTCTAATTTGCAACCCTAAACCAATCAAGGAAACCCTAACTAACAACAAAACTCAACAGTTAATCAAATAGTTAAAATCAATAAAACCGTAAAAGACAGTTACCTTCTCGGGATCACCACCCTTGTCGGGATGATTCTTAATGGCGGCTTTTTTGTAAGCCTTCTTCAAATCATCCGGCGAAGCGTTCTTGGAGACGCCAAGGATTTCATAGTACCTGGTGTTGTCGCTCTTCTTTGGTGCTCTTCCAAACATGGTTAATTCCTCACTGATCGAAACCCTAGTTTCAGTAAGCGAAAAGCAACAAAGAGAACGAGAAGTGAAGACTCTAGATCCCAACCAAAAAAGAGAAAGAAGGAGTATCACCCTAAGGAATGAAAATTCTAGCGTTGGTATTTATATTTATATTTACATTTACATTTGTTTTTTACTTTTTAGGATTAAGAATGGACGGTTAGGATGGAGCCTCGTCACGTGGGTCCCACCAGGGAAGGGTCTAGAATTTTTGTTTTGCTTATAGGTGAGGTTGAAGGTGTGAACCGTTAGATGTGAGTATCATCCGTGGGATTTTGTTCTAGATCCTTCTTAGCAAGCTCTAGGAAATACCACTCAGTTTTCTTTTTTTTTCTTTTTTTTTTAAATTGATCTTATTTTTCTCTCCTTTGGCGCCAGCCAGAACCCAAATTTGACTCGTCTATGGACATCCTCTAACCATTTGCGTTCTCAAATCACCACCACAAGTTTGTCATACTTTTGCTAGGATTATTCAACAACCTATCTAAATATACCACCATGGACCCAATAAAATTTAACTTTCATTTGTCAATATATATATATATATAAGTTTTTAATTATTTGCATTGTGCTTTTGATTCTTTAAAGTGCCTGCTATACCACTACTTTGTAGGTAGTGTAACCCTGTTTGCTTTACATTTTTAACATGTTTTTTCTTCTACCCTATTGAATCTCTGCTTGTGATTATTTAAATTTAGCCAAGTAAAATTCACCTTACTTTTAAAGTGACTCAACCTATATATGGGTTGATTTTTTTTTTACTACAAATGATGAGTCAATTTACGAGGCAGTTTTATACCTTAAAAAAAGAGAGAGAGAGAGAACCCTTAGTTTTAGTGTCTTTCATATCTTGTATGTTTGTTTTGTAGTTATTGCCTCAATCAATAGATTAGGATTCCTTGCACTACGCACGTTTGCTTGAATACGGATATCAACTTGTTGGATTTTACATTAAAACGCTTGAGATGTATATTATTTTTAATACATTATAATTTCTCATAATTTATTATTGATTTCACGTCAATTAAAACACAGTGCATCAAGTCATTAGAATATGCATTGTGCTACAAATCTCATTAGAAAAATGTTTTCTCTTGCTTGCAATAGTGAACTTTTATTTATTACTAATTTAAAGTTAATTGTTTTTTTAATATATTTTAATTCAAAATAATAATAGAAGTTTTTTTTTTACACATTTCAATACAGTAAAGTCACAACCCCTGTTTATTATTTAATGTACTTAATTGCACTTTAAATTCTATCACTTTAATCCATGAATAATTTTTATTCTTTTAATTTTAATTACTCATATTTATTTATTTATTTTTGTTTAACATCAATTTTGTAACTCAAAATTACATTCAATAATTAAAAAAAAAAGTTGTGGACATGTTATTGTTTTATATTAATTAATATTTAAAAATATATATAATCATAAAAGTCTTTTAATTATTTTAATTAATTTAAAATATTCCTTTAAGTATGTATAAATTATTAATATATTACATATTATATTTTTATTTAGTATTAGATGAATGCTTGTGGTGAGAGATTTTATTCGAATAATTGAAGAACAGTATAAATTAAATAATAAACACGAGTAATGATAGATGAAGTAAATAATGTATTAAAGTGTGTAAACTACAAGTGAAATTGAACCTTCTAAAAATATTAATAAAATAAAAATTATAAATATTATCAAAATCTTATTAAATGTTTTTATATATATTTTTTAATTAATTAATCGCTATAATAATTTTTTATCTAATATTTTTAACCATTCTAATAAATTTTTGCACCTTTTTCATTACGACGCATCATAAAACTATTATAATAATTTTAAATTAAAAAGTTAAATCTAGCAAGTTAAAAACATTGATGAGAGTATTTTTAACTCATCCAACCTACCCAAACGGTTAACAGAAAATGAAATGTTTGCACGAAGTACGAGCATTAAAAAGGAGACTAGTGTGCTACGCAGTCTCAATCATGTCGAGGGATCTTCTTGTTTAAAGTTAGTGCAATCGTCACTTTAAAATAAGTTTTTAAATGTGTATTCATTCATGTTTGATCAATTTTTTTATATTTTAATATTAATAGTTATAATTTATGTGATTTTAAAATGTATTTAAATACGATTCTAGATGTCCTATAAATACATGTAAAGTGTTGATCTAATTATTTATATTAACGTATATGGTTAACTTCAAATAATTATTAATTAACAAAGTATTTGTAAAACAATAATTCTACACTGATTTAAGAAATCTTAGAAAATTTTTTCTCAACCTTCAAATTGTGCCAAAAAAGTGAAATAGGAGAGAGGCGGGAATTGTGACAATCATAACAAATGTATGATTATATTAATCCTTTTCAAATTAAAGGTCTTAATAATTATAAGTTTGACTCAAAGCTCCCCTCCAGTAAATGCTTGAAAACTAAAATATATTCTAAGAGGCAAAAATAATTTTTTTACTTTTTATTATTTTAGTTTTCTAATTTATATTTCATTTTCACTTTTGATTTCAAATTTATTATACTAGCTAACACAGAATTAAATTTGTTGTTAATATCATAATTCATAATTAAATAAGTGTAATTTTTTAATAATATCTTTATATTTAAATTTAATTGAACAACTAATTACTATTATTGTTTTTAACCAAACAAGAAATGGATTAATTGGAGAGTAGTAAAAAATTGAAGTGGTTAGTTGGAGGGGTCTCCGTGATTGACTCTATCTGATGGCCCTCACGAGTATGGAGGTGACAGTGACAAATCCTCAGTACTCGCCGATCCCCAAACGACATCGTTTTCTCTGCTATCCATTTCCCACGGCGCACGTTAGAAGACACCTGTCATCCCTCCCTGCCGGCACTTGTTTTTTCCTACGACCTCGTTCCAGTAACAAAGAAAAGGACCTTAAAAAAATGCTCAAATTCCCATAAAGAAAAGAAACATTTAGAGAAAGAAACTCTGAACTCAAACCTGCATAATTTGGATGCGAAAATCCAGTAGTTGACTCACTGAGTCATGGATTATCGGCTAAAAGTAAAACGGTATCTTCTTCTGCTTTTGATTTAGCTCTACCTCTCTCAGTTTCAGGGTTTCAGGTGAATTGAGCTTCAACTTTATCATCTCTGGATCTGCACTCTTTTTTTGGCTAATTGGGTTCCTTTTCCCTCTCAAAAGTTTCAATCTTTATTACCATGTTGGTTAATTGCTATTGTCTTCCACACACAGTTGGACTTGTTCTGGGGTTTTATCGTTCTTAAGCAATTTGTTGCCATCTATGTCAAACACCAGTTACTTTAGAAGCAACTGAATCAATCAGTTTTTGGCCAAACAAAGTTTTTTTGTTTGAGGGGTGTTGGTCAACATCTGTGGTTGTTGACGAGTTGATGATTATGATGATGGTGATTATTACTTTTTTTTTAATTATGTTTACTTGCAATAATCTCAACTTTTGTAAGATCTGTTACGATGATGGTATGGAAATAATGGAATTACTTGTACATGAGTTGACAGAATACTTTTGCCATGCTTTGTGCATACCTGTACACTGTTTTGGTAGTTTGGAGCTTGAAATCCTACAAGGTTTGCCTTTGGTGTTGGTCATCTTTGGTCATAATGAATTAATGATTGCTCCAATACAGTCAAGGTCTTGGGTTTGGGTACAGAGTTGGGTGTGTGAGGAACTATAACAGCAGCTTGTCAGCATAGGCATTCACATTTTTAGGATGAGAAAATATGGTGTTGGACTACTTAATTTTATTTCGTTTTCCTGTGTTCCTCCACTTAAATGATGCTTGCTACATTAAGTTGATTTTCTTGTTGACTCTTTCGCCACCATTCAGTTAGTTCCACACAAATTGCAAATCTTATTGTTGCACAATATTTTATTTGTTAAAGCTTGAGTATCTTTCATCCATTCCATCTACCCTACTTCAATCCTATAGCTTTACATCTCCCTCTATTTTCCTGTCACAATGTATCATAGAACCAAGATATTTAAATCACGTAATTTAACAAAATTAAATTAGTTGTAAGTTTTAAATGGTTTGTTTTCTTGTCAATGAAGTGTGTGCTTGTATTAATCCTCTGCTACTTGCTCCATCACTTCTGTATTTCATAGTTCAATAAAGTTCACCTTTTTTTGCTAATTAAGGTTATGAATAATAATTAACTGCTTTTGCCCTGATTTGGCCAAAAAATTCTTTGCCAGGTTTCTACTAGATTGAGATAAAGTGAATGACACTATGGGTGTGTCAGGGAAGTGGATTAAAGCATTGGTTGGTATAAAGAAATCAGATAAGTCCGAGTCCTCAGAGAAGGATGGAAATGTGAGTATAGCTCTCTCTCAGTCCTTGTCTAGTATTTTCTATATCATTTGTACCTCTATTCCTGCCTTCTAGTTGTTTCCACATGGTGCTTTTAGTTTAGCTTAAGCTATGTGTTATCACTTAGTTATTTCTTGTGTCCTGTCTTCCTCCCACTCCTTTCCACCAGAAAAAAGAAAAGCAAATGAGTTTCCTTGATATGGTTCACCTTGAGTGCTTAGTGCTCTGTTACATGATCCTTTTCATGACTTATTTCCTAAAAAAATAGTGTACTTGCTAAAATAAGTGCATTAATTTTATCATTAAAAATTTCAATGTTGTTCTGTCCTGTGATTTTATTCTGTATCAAAGGAGGTCACCAAAAGCACTAATGAGAAGAGTTGATGGTATAATATTTAGTTTTGTGAAAAGAGTAAAGTGAGACCAAAAAGAACCTTGGAGAATATCATAAAAAAGGAATCTCATTATAAATAATATCTTTAAAAAATTGGTATTTGACTGAATCTGATACTATTATATGATCCATGTAATTGACTTCACCTAGTGAAATGAGATTTTGTTGATGTCGTATTTAAGCATTAATCTGAGAATATTTTGGTATCTTTCCCAACAAGCAAGGTGATGTCAACATTGCAAAAGATATAAGATATTCAAAGTAATTGTGAGTAGGGTTCAACTTTTATCAGTCATTGAAGTTTTCTGTAATAATTTTTATACACTTTTTAACTCCTCTAGTAACTTTGCTGCATGGTCCATGGTTGACAAACGATCATTTTGTGTTAACAATGGAACTTTCTCCTCTTCCACCTCTATGAGTAATGGAAACTTTTTGGAAATGCTTTACAGAACGGTTCATTAATTTCAGAGTTATGCTCTCACTTTCCATATTGTTAAACTGTATGTTTAAGTTAATGTACGCCTTTATGTTTCTAAAATGCATTGCTTGACAAACATTCCTTTTGGCTATCATATAATTATGCGTTGCATACCATTAAAAAATTTTGTTTTAATTTAAAATTTGAACTTTTAAATGATCAGAAGTTTGGCAAGTTTCGGCATCGGAGAAAGCATTCCATCGAAATTGACAAAAGTAAACTTCAAAATGAGTTTAGCAATAATGGTACTCCACCTATTGGAGATGCTGACCCCCCTTCAAACCTTGATGCTCATTATTCACCTTCTACTTCACAACAAGCACAAGATGCTGCACATAATCATCAAATCATGAGGGAAGAATGGGCTGCAACACGTATTCAAACAGCATTTCGAGGATTTCTGGTAAGTTTTCTCATCAGTTTGGTTTATTGTTTATCTGAAGTGAAATTATCATGTTAATTATTTTTTTGTCTATTTCTATGTGATTGGAGAACAGTTTTAATAACATGCTTCTCATTTTCTTTTCTTTTTATACTTGAAAGAGGTTTTAATAACATACTCCTAACTAATGTGAGAGATATCTTAACAATGTCTACATGAATTTTCTTTCTTTTTATTTGTTTTATTTCTTCCCTATTTACTCTTTTATTAATCTGAAGTTTATTCTAATCAGTTTAATAGATTTATTGGTAACAACTTTGACTAAGTTGGAAACTTTTATTATACATATCAGGCCAGAAGAGCACTACGAGCTTTGAAAGGATTGGTAAGGCTTCAGGCCCTTGTAAGAGGTCATGCAGTAAGAAAACAAGCTGCAATAACTCTCCGTTGTATGCAAGCTTTGGTGAGGGTTCAAGCTCGTGTTCGAGCAAGGCGCGTTCGCTTGGCATTGGAAAATCAAACAGCACAAGAGAAACTGCAGCAACAGCTTGCAAATGAGGCCCGTGTTCGTGAAACTGAAGTAAGCATTACTACTCTCAAATGATTTTGTTTTATTATTCTCTTTTGCAGGGAGATGAATATAGAAAAATTGAGATTCATGAATTTGAGATAGTTGTTTAATTCATAACATTAGGACAAAGGGCCTATATTTTTTCTTCTTGGTTTTGACCACTTGAATAAGTTGCAATGATGTTTGTTGGCTTTTCTGGTTGTTCTTTTATTCTGTTACAGTTTTTTGTTTCACTATTTTTTCTAATTCCAATGAATATATGCTATATGCTATCCTTATCTCCTTGTCATATATCAGAAGTTAAGTGTTTGCTAAAGCTAGATGCCAAATTAAGTTTAGAATGAACTATAAATATATAGTGAACGATTCACTGAAGCGTGTCAATTTGATCTGAGACATGCCTAGTGGGAGCATCTGAATGAGAAACATAAAAACTTGGACACAGGAGAGAAATGAAAATTGCAGGAAGAAATTTATTGTTAGAGATACCTACCAAGTACCATGAGAGTGTGATCTTGAGAGCTTGTTAATCAAACGAAGTAGCTAAGCTAACTAATACGATGCAAAGAATTATGTCCATCCCAAGTCCTAACTCTTGTTCTAGTGCATTTCCAGAACATTTGAGGGGCATTTTATAGTTTCCTTGAATCACGAATAAACCTAGAAAAAAATTAAAAAGAAAGAATGGAAGGAAAGAAGAAAAATGGGAAAAACAATCATGTGCAAAACGAACCAAAACAGAGTTTTATGCCTTCGACTGGTTTTAGACACAACTAATTTCTTCTTCTTATCTAGTTGTGCATGAATACCATTTGTGCTTGGAATGTTTTCATGAAGGGGATAATTCATGGCAAACTGCATCTGCAAAATGCCATAAATTAGTGCTTGGTGTGGTAAATATTGCAATTGTGTTTTATTTTCAAATACACTATAGTGAGCAACAACTTAGGTTTTGTTTTTCTTAAACATGTTTGATACAGGAAGGTTGGTGTGATAGTGTGGGATCTGTTGAAGAAATTCAAGCCAAAATATTAAAGAGACAGGAGGCTGCAGCCAAACGTGAGAGAGCCATGGCATATGCTCTAGCCCATCAGGTAAAGTTACAACATCCTCCCATTGAATTAATTACGAGGGTGGGCAACTAGGCATCATCCATCAATTAATCTTTCTTTTCAAATCCTTGATAGGATTCTCCACCATGACACACAATTAATTGCTTGTTATGCAATCAATTGAACTTCAATCTTTCTCCGTACATATTTTTTGCTTTGGTTCTTCTTTTTAAACCACAAGCTTGGGGTGTAAGATTTTTCCTTTCTACTTTTCCTCTCTGCAGTGGCAAGCAGGATCAAGGCAGCAGGCTGTTTCCTCTGGATTTGAACCTGATAAAAATAGTTGGGGTTGGAATTGGTTGGAAAGATGGATGGCTGTACGTCCTTGGGAGAATCGCTTTCTTGACACTAATATGAGAGATGGAGCAATGGTTGATGCAAATGTGGCTATAGATGGTAAAAATGGGATCAAACCTCAGTTAAAATCAGTTAACACAAAATCAATTCCATCGAATATCCATCCAAACCTTGCCAATCAGAAAACTGGTCCTTCTCTTTCTGATGGCTGTGATTCCTCACCTAGTAAGTCAGCAGGTTTGCTAGAGTCATCAAACACAAAGTCTGTTAAACCAAAGTCTAATGCAAATGTTCAAAATCCTATTGAAGATGCCAACTCAAAACCTGAAATTCAAAGATCTCATAGTAATCCAAAGGAGAGAACTGCACCAGTAGACAAGCAGGCAAAGAAAAGATTATCCCTGCCTAACAATGGTGAGTTTTTTTTTCTCTTTTTTGTGCATTTTCTTTAGAGTAAATTACACTTATTTACCTTGAGAGATGCTTAAAACACACTACCTTTCCTTCGTATTTTAAAATTTGCATTCCCCCTCCCTTAGAAAATACTTACAATTTGGCCCGTTTCTATGTAATTGAACCATTTTGGGTTAGATTTTTTTGCCTTTTATTTCTCTTAGGCCTTTGCACTATAATTTTTAAATTAAGAAGGGAGAGTAATATAATTTAAGCATAGAGATATGGGAGTGCATTTTACTCTTCCTTTATGCAATTATATTATCACCTCAAGTTGAACGACATCATCAGAATTCGCTAAATAAATAACTTTATTACTGATTTTTGTAAACCCTCCTGAGGAATCAACCATCAATTTTGATTAGAAATTTATGTAAAGGTCTTCTGATAAGATTAAATTCACAAATGATGCAGTTTTCTTTATTTTAGAAATACTTTTGTAGATAACTTAAAGTACAAGGAATGTGACATTGCCAAATCCTGATGACCGATTGTCTTAGATTAATGTAACCAGCAGCCGTATCTAAATTTATGTCATGTCTTTTTAGCAGGAGGTCCTGGGGCTCAAACAGCAAAAAATTCTACTAGAACGACGCGTGGCGTGCAAAAGCCTATGAGGGATAAACCTAAATTCAATGGAGGGGGGGATATGCATATTACTAAATCTGTTCCACAGCCCACAGTTATGTAGCTTCCATTCTCCGTTGAGTGTGTGGGTGATATGGCATTTGTCTATCTGGACATGTATTGCAAAGTGTTGAAGGGTTGCTACCACAATGCACATGCATGTTCCTCTCCTCCATGAAGATGCTGATATGGTTTGCTTGTGAGATTGGGTTGTGTTATCATGAATTTGCCTGTTAAGGGGTTATCATGGACACACGTCTGTTGTAATTATGCATATTTATTATTGTGAGCTGTGTGATAATGCGGTGTATTTATCTTCAGATGTAAAACTTTCAGAGTGCCATTCCCTTCCATTTTATTGCTATTACCAAGTTGCAGGGTATTCATTTATCATTGTCAGGTTCCTAGATATTGTTTTTCTGGTAAGAACACGAACCACAGTTGAAAATAACATAATCAAGAGTGGAACAATTTTATTAGAAAATATTATTAGTGTATCTTGTCTCGTGATTTTTAATGTATTCCAATATATCTTTTAATTAAAAAAAAAAAATCACTTATGATTCCTTAACCAGTTAGCAAGACCTTTTAACAATTAAGGTGATGAAACTAAGCATTCTTTTTTGTTATCCTATCTTCTTCTTTTTCTCTATTTAAACTTGATTTTGATGAATCACTTCCTTAGTTTACACAATATATTATTTATTTGAGCCCTTAATGTCAATGAAAAATGTAGTTAGAATGGATTGCAATGTATAATATTTTACAAGTTTAAAAATAAATTGAAAGTTTTGTAAAGCAAAAGAAAAATTGGCTTGATTACAATTTCATGTATTTAAATCAATAAGATAAAACTTGATTCAAGTTGATGATTAGTGTAAGTACGTAAATAATAATATTGTAAGATATATTTAATTCACATTATTAGCATTATAGTTTTTTTTACTATATTAATTATATAATTACTTATAGATGTTTTTGTTTTTTTGATAAATATTACATGAACGAATCTTACGAGAAAAGATGAAATTTCGCTATGAGAAGTTTTAGTCCTTACTTTATTTAATACGTTTCTTATAAAATAAAGTTGTAATAAATTATATTATTGATAGAAATAAAAATAGGTTAGGTTAGACTTTACATAAATATACTTTATTTATTTAGTAATTTTGAAGCTTGAATATGACCTATTACTTGTCATATGCTTGTTATTAAGTTTAGTCTGACCTTTTTAAAAGTCTGATTTGGCCTATTAGTCTTTTTAATGGCCTACTTTTTATTGAAACATTAAATAGGTCATCAATTTTTTTTGTAAATAGACTATTAAACCATTTAAATAAGTATATCTTTTTAAAAGTCATAAGACTTATATCTAAAAAAATTATTCAATATCTTGAATATATATAATAAAACTACATATTCCTATTTATTACTTTCAAATCACATAGACGTATTCAAAACAACGCAATATAAATTATTGTTATGTTATGCATATAAGATATGCAAAAGACTCCAATAAACAAGACTTTTTCCCTTAGAGAGTATGCAGTATAGACCCTTTTCAACTCAATAAAAATGATTAGAGTTTTTAATTTAAGATTTTATTATTTTAAAATTTAATTAATTAATAGCATTGAAATATATTTTTATTGACCAATTAGAATTTTCTTCCAATATTTATAATTGTCTCAATAAATTCAATATTCATACATTATTAGAATTTCTATCTCTTAAAAGGTATGTAGTAGAGATATTCTTCAACTCTAACGAAAAATATTAGAGTTTTTAATTTAAGATTTTATTATTTTAAAATTTAATTTTTTTAATATATTATTATATTATAATTTTTATATAAAATTATTTAATATGTTATTATAAATTTTAAATAAGCTATTCTAATAGGCCTAATAGATTTTTTCTTAAGCTCAAACATAACTTATTTAATTAATTAAATTTTTTAAAAAGTTTAAATTAAGCTTATTAATTAAATAGACTAAGTTAGATTAAGCTTTAAAAAGATTAAATTGTAGGCTTATGTTAGACGGTATGAACTATTTTTATTCCTAGTTATTGAATATACAATATTATCTGAAATATTAAAATACCAAAATTTAGATATGCTTATATATATTTTTTAAAATTTTAAAAAATATAGTATGTTTTAAAATAAAATTAATAAAATATTAATTAATTTTAAATTATATAAATAGAATAAAATTAACAAGACTGACTTTTCCATGGATCCTTGTCCGATATTAAAAATATTTTTTTAAAATTTAAACAAACATACTCTTAATTATTTCAAGCACTTAATTCTTTTTGGCTTGTAATTTATCAAAAACTATAACACTAAAAAAGAATTTAATAAAGAATCACGTATGGTCATGGCATCGTTAAACTATATAAGCAATTAATTAATAAAACTTAAAAATTTGTAATTTCTATTTATTTATTTCTAAATCTTTTAAAATGCTCACTCACTATATTATGTGAAGGCATTTGTAATTTTTTTTTAAAAGTATGTAATTAACATACTCTTAAAATATTATAAAAAAAGGAACTTCCCTCTAATTAATCCTCATGGCAATTTGCCTCTCACCGTTAGGTGACTCTTAGTTGTACTAGTTGCTTTCAAGTTATAGACTTCTGAACTCTCTCTAGCACCCTTCCACCAAAAAACTACTAAAAACTATATAAAAAAAAGTTAAAGTAGAATTGAAGAGGGTCCAAATTACCAAATTTGCCACCTGCGTAGAAATGTAATTACTGGTTAGCTCCTCTAGCTCGAGTAGTATTAAGAGCATTCTCCCTAATATCATTAAAAATCGTTAAACAGTTTCCTCAATTGTGGTTATAAGTACATAAACATCATATATAATTTTTTAACGTCTACTCTTCATCATTAAACATTAATTTAAATTTAATGTTTTTATAAATTTTAATTAATAAAAAAATAAAAATGCGTTTAAAATTACATTACAGTCTAACATCTGCTGCTAAACTCCACAAAGTTTGAAACTTTACATGGCACGATAAAAACCAGACACCCTCCCCCACTAGCCAGTAGATTCAAAGTTGAGAGAAAGTGCAAACAAAGATTGATATCTCTCACCACATCATCATCATCATCATCATCAATGGCATTGTGGAGGTTGATGCCATTGCCAATGGTGCTTCTGACACTGTCTTTAGTTGCTGCTGACAGCAACACCAACAAGGTGTACCAGCCTTGTGCTGATGCCAAGATTCAGAGATCCGATGGTTTCACTTTTGGCATTGCTTTCAGTTCCAAAGATTCATTCTTCTACAATCACTCTCTTCAACTCTCTCCCTGTGATCACCGCCTCTCTCTCTCTGCTTCCACCTCACAACTTGCTCTCTTCCGTCCCAAAGTTGATGAGATCTCTCTCCTCACTATCAACACCTCTACTTTCTTCCCTGTGAGTAACCATCTTCTGCTCTTACTCTTTCTTACCTTTTTCTTTGGTCTTGGCTAATTGAAAATAATGTTACCTATTTGTGTTTTCTTGTTTGTGGGATTGAAATCTCACTTTGGCATGGATTTTTTACTCTGTTGTGTAGAAAAGTTTGAAACTTTGAGGTGGTTTATATGGGTGTGTATCTGTATGGTCATTGTAGAATTTGAGAATAATGGGGTTGTGGCTTTTTAAATTTTTTTTTCATTGGTTGGTACGTGGGGTGCTTTTGTATTTGATATTAATATGATGATTTCTCAGGGTTGTTGCGCTTCCTCTGGATGATAATGACGTAGAATTTGTTTTCTAACTGCTAATTCATGCTTTACCGTTATTGTGATGGTGAGGATTCAATGGATAGTGCAGTAGTGTGTTGTCGTTTTATAGGTTTATTCCTATTGGTGTTTACTAGATAATATGGATTTTAGTCTGAAAATGTTGTTAGGAGTAGAAATAAATTTTGGCACATTTTATAGTTGTCAGTTTTTTTCTCATTGTACATGTGAAACTAGCCAATGAACCGAAATTGGGATCTGGACTTAACCTGAAAGCAAAATGAAGCAAATACTTCAGACAAGATTGAAGGTGAGGTTATAAGCTGAAAGATCCTCAAGAGAGTAAGCTCCATACGTATCTGGATAGTATTTAGAGGAGCCACATCTACAAGCCAAATTTATGTGCTCCTTTTGGCAAGAAATTAAGCAGTATGGAAGTTTAAGAATGAAAGGCATAGTACCTGTGGTTGTTGAACGTCATAGTTTCAGCTTAATAATGTTTTAAATGGGATATGAAAGGATAATTATAGCACATGGAGGGAGGAGAAATAGTTCACCAATCTACTTAAAACATAACACATGGCACAACATAACCGGTTTGTTGAGAGATCATATAGAGCTTCAGTCATAAAGGTAAGGTCACAGCCAAGAAATAGAGCTTCAGCCTTCATTGTGGTAATACTAATTCCTACTATACAGTATGCACCCTGTCCTGTGACCCCTTAAAGAAGTTTGGTACTATGACCAGACATGACCTTATTCCATCAATCGACATGACCTATATTCTTTACATCTAGTTCAATGCTGAGATTTGTGTTCTAAACTGTCATTTCATTTGTTTTTCCAATATGCCACTTGTTTTGACTTCTCACTGAAGCAAAGTTTCTACTTCTGCAACCATCTTAAGGTTTGCGACGCATGCCAAGGGACAGGTGAAATTAATTTTATTATGTTCTCTGTATTGCTAATTAAATATTTTCCCTGCTACTTAGGGCCTTTAGGCCTGTAATAATCTTCCATTACAGGTTATGGCTATAATGTATTGTCTTATCGTGTTGACCTGTTGCCATTTCTCCTTATCCGTGTGTCAGCTTCAACTTAAAGTCCAACCACTCCTTATAGTTATTGGCATTATCATTAAACTTGAATGCACACTTTGTACCGACGAAAATACTTTCAATTTATGTTGCATCTATATATTCATTGTTGAAATTAAACCACCCCTCATCGGTTATTAAACTTTAGTGCACACTTTGGACCAACTAAAATACTCTCAAAATGTTGCTGCTAACTTTTTTTGCCACTACTTAGTTTGATACTTGTGATACTGTGACATCAAAAGTAAAGGCTATGCCTTGCAATCGTTTTGCTGTCGTTATATGTAGAATTCAGGTAAACTTGGTGTATTTCTGTTTCTGTTTGACATGACAAGTTTATTTAACACATGGCCAAAATATATAAGGAAGTTGTTATTGTTGGGAAATGCACACATAATGCATACTTGGAAGTTAGTTACAAAATTGCTTGTGTTTTTCTTAAAACATTCGAATTCACAAGTTTATAGTACAGATTCCCTGGTTGACTTAGTGCATTTGAGGTAGCTATGCTCAAAATATTCTTTTATAACCATGAATGCTTTTCTTGTTTCCAAAGATTATGGCTTATTGCGGTATTTGATCCCCCGCAAACTTCTTGGAAGTCATGGTTCTTCACTACTTTAATAGGATAGAAATGAGAATCTCCGACCACAGTCACTATTATATGCACTGCTTTAAAAAAGGAAAGAGAAAACATGTCTGCAAAACTATTGTGAATTAGAGCAACTTTTTCTTTTTTGATACATGAATTAGAGAAATTTTAGTTCCCTTGAAAGTGAAAATAAGAACCACAAGATGCTAAAGCAAAAGTTGCATATGGTTAGTGTAATCACAATAACTATTTTTTTATTTTCATTTTAATCATGATTAATATAGGATACTTATGGTGGGTATATGGTGGCATTTGCGGGAAGAAAGTATGCTGCACGTTCACCACTTGCGTTTGTTGCAAACAGTACATATATCGTGACAAGTTTTACACTGGTAAGAACTGTAAATCATGGACCTGCTGAGTGGGTTTTTGGTTTGTTATTGAACAGCTTGGACATTCCATTTGATTAGGTGCTAGAGTTTCAGAAGGGTAGGCTGCATAACTTGTACTGGAAGAGAGACGGATGTTCTTCATGCAAGGGAAAATCCAACTTTGTTTGCCTCAACAAACAAGATTGTTCAATCAGAACATCATCTTGTAAAGGCAGAGGAGGTTCAGTAGATTGTAGTCTTGGGATACAACTTGCATTTTCTGGTACTGACAAGCATCTCTCAGTGCTTAATTCATGGTATGAAGTGGAAAACATGCGGCAGTACTCTCTTTATGGCTTATACTCAAATCTAAGGGACTCTCTCACCAGCCAGTATAACAAATTCTTTTAACCAAAAGAAAAGAAATAAAAAAGAAGAAATCTACCTCTACATTATTTTGTTTGTTTGGGATGGTATTGTAACTTCTGTGACTATTGTTCTTTGGCATCACAATTTCTTGTTTTTGGACTCTCTTTTTTTTGCCTTGCCAATTTTTGGTTTATAACCATATGTGAAGAATGGGTACATTTTAGTATGCTGCAAGTGCCCTTGCTTTTTTTCTTTCATTAGCTTGAGAAAGAGTTTACCACCAAATTTGAGATTAAACCCTAAAGCTAATGTCATCATTCAAAAGATTGAGCTGAATACTAGGAGGGCAAAGTGGACTGGTAAGGTAAAAATCTTGACATTTGAAATGTTGGCTGAAGGTGAAATTTGTTGACAAATCATGTAACTATACCCCCAAAATACCAAGATCTTAACCAGCACTGAAAACAAAGGGAGAATCAGGAGTGTAAATCTTGGGAAGTTACAAGTTCAGTGTTTAATGTATGATTCTATTCAGGTGCTATAGTACAATCCCAACACCTATGGGTGGAAAACAGTATACAAATGAAGAAAAGTTTCAACAAGAATGACTTTTGAGGAAAAGAATCAATAATGTACTAACATTTTTTTCTCAGAATACAGAATAGTACACTGGAGTTGTTTTTTTGTCACTACCAATTTGGGGTTCTATTTTGTCAATTCCAAGGTTTAAGCTGCATTATATCACACGTTCCATTCCAAGCCCCACGATGAATTATATAAGTTTAGTAAGATGTCACATCTTGACCAAATTAAAGTAAGATGTCACATTATTAGAGACCACTTACAAAAACATGAATTTTTTTAAAGACAATAAATTTTTTAAGCTATATCGTAAATTAAGTTTGTTTAACGTTATGAATTTTAATTGAGGTTATTTTAATGCAATATCAGTATAAAAAAATTATATTGTCAATAAATTAAAATATATTATAGGTATAATTTTTATATTAATTGACACAAAAGTAAAAGTTTTTGTTCTTATAATAATTTATTATTAGATAACAACATAAAAAATTTTAACACGAAAGTAATGATATAACTTATAACCAAAAAAAAATATTTAAGATGCGTCCAAATATATAATAAAAATTTACGTATAAAAAATTACAAAATTTAGTGTAACGATAATATTAAATGTTTAAACTTATATAAAAAGTAATTATTTAATTTTTTTATTATCTATTTTTAAATATATATTAAAATTCGATAAAAAAAATAAAAATATAATTATACTCTTGGATCGGTTCAACTGCAACCCGGTCCAAATAATCTGGACCGGTGAAGTTGACACCTCTTCGTTTCAAGAGAAAGTTTGAGAAACCCTAAAGATGAAATTGACAAAGGTTAGGAAGCAGAAAGCGATAAACGAGAAGAAGCAAAGCGAAGGAACAAGAAGGTGCACATTGTGTGGAGGCAATGGGGAAGAATCAGGACCAGAAAACGGGGCTAGGAAGGGCCCTTGTGAAGCAGCACAATCAGATGGTTCAGCAGAGCAAAGAGAAGAACCGATTCTACAAGAAGAAGTTTCTCGAATCCTTCACCGAAGTCTCCGACATCGACGCCGTCATCGAGCAAACCGTTGATTCTCTCCCCGATCGCTCCGCCGCCACACCTTCCTTACTCATCAACTTGTCAGTCTCTCTTTTCCTTCCACATGCTTTTGCTCTTCTTGCTGTTAACATTTTTGTGACTCTTGTTATTGCGCTTGAGTAGAGACCATGCCTCTGTGTCCGATGAAACGACGTCGGAAGTAGCGAAGAAGCAGCGGAAGCAAGAGGAGGCACTATATGCTAGCAGCCTCCGTGTTCCGCGCCGGCCGCCGTGGAATTCCGACATGTCTGCCGAGGAGCTTCATGAGAGTGAAACGCAAGCTTTTTTGATTTGGCGTCGCAGTTTAGCAAGGTTAGTATCTGCTTTTTTGGTTTATCGTTTTTGTTAATCAGCGCGTTTGAATTACAGGATGGGAATTTGGTTTAGAGTGTTGATAAATGATGGAGATTAGGCTTAGTGTTATGGAATGTGCATTTTTTAAGCTAAAATAGTTTGTTCGATTAAAGGCTTTGAAGATGTTTTTTACTTTGTGTTTGTGGTGTGGCGATGTTTCAGGCTTGAGGAGAATAAGAAGCTTGTTCTTACTCCGTTTGAGAAAAATCTTGACATATGGAGACAGCTCTGGCGGGTTGTTGAGCGGAGTGATTTGGTAAGATGGTGGAATGTTTGAAGTTTTAACTATAAATGTCTACTTTTGTTGTTTATAAAGGATTTCAATTATTTTTTCTGAAGAAATTGTTGTGTTTTGAGGTAAGTTACCGCACTGCTTTTTGGAATCGTGATTGGTACTTGATATGATTATGTTATGTTACCATATTTAGTGATGACTTAGTTATCGGGATTGAACTTGATGAAGATGGGCGTGGTTATCCTTTTTATGAATAAATACGATTGCCAAACAACTGCATCTGTGTATCCATGCAATGCAATGTTGTTGAAGCAAATAAGCTTTTATTTGATCGCGATCTTGGTGGTTGTCTACTGTTGAGTTCAATCAAACTTCCATTTTGTCACATGCAGCAAAAATGCAGTATTTATAATGTTCAAATATAATTTAGCTCACCTCTTTCATTTAAGATGGTTTTTATTTGTACACAAGCAATTCCACATATGCTGCCATACTATGTGATCTTTTGTTATTGTTTTTTGTTTAACTGTATTGATTGCATTGATTAGATTCCCGGCTGCCTTGGCTTCTTATTCAAACAAAACGAAGGGAGAAAGGCTAAACTAGTTGGACCTTGCATCATCAGCTGCAAACTAAAGAATAATCCTAAAAATAATCTCATTCTTCTACTTCTAAAAAAGAAAAGAAAAGAGCAGCTCTGGTTTAGCACTTTGCATTGTGGATTATAGCCTGCTTTTTATTCCTCCCCAGATGTACATTCACTCTTTTCTTCCTATCAATATTTTATGTAATTTAAAAAAGCTTACATATTATGAGTAGATTTGGATAGTTGATATTTTCATTTTTATCCCTAATGGTTTCTGTGTGTGTAGAAATATTGACAATGACAATGTAGTTTTTTTATCTGATATTTTCTGTGTTGTTTTTCAAGTGCTTTAAATCTTAAAGATGATGACCTCTTTCTGTTGCACATTTCTATCAGCTTGTTATGGTCGTTGATTCCCGAGATCCACTGTTCTATCGTTGTCCAGACCTTGAGGTGAGATTTTTTTTTTCTCTGGTATTGAAATGCTACCTTCACAACCCTGGGGATTACTAGATCTGTAGAAAATCTAGCAACTGATTGATAGGGATCAATTATAATGGAACACTTTGTACGGGATATTCATTCTTTTACAGCAGCTTCAGCATTGTGAAGTTCAAAACAGCAAAACATCCTTTCAGAGTGTCTACTTCTATCCTTTAAAACGTAGTAGCTTACACTAATCTCTGTAAAAAGTGTAACTGGCATTGTATATATCTAATCTTTGTAACCTACTTTGGACCTCTGTTGTCTCCTTTTTTTAAAAAAATTGTTCTATTATGTGGGCCAAGCATTGCATCGATTTTACTTTTGTTACAGACTTATGCACAAGAGGTTGATGAGCATAAACGCACTTTGCTTTTGGTCAATAAGGCTGATCTTTTACCTGCCTCTATCAGGTTTGGATCTCCTATATAAGGTTTATACTGCATCAAATCATTGCCCTTGGTTTTGTATCTTGCTAAGATCCTGATAATTTGTCTTGTCTTTCTTCTGTTTTCCTGCAGAGAGAAATGGGCAGAATATTTCCGTGCTCATGATATTCTCTTCATCTTCTGGTCAGCTAAAGCTGCTTCAGCAGCCCTGGAAGGCAAAAAGCTTGGTTCATCATGGGACCATGATAATGCAGGTAGAACTAATAGCCCAGACACAAAGATATATGGAAGGGATGAGCTTTTGGCCCGCTTGCAATCAGAGGCAGAAGAGATTGTTGACAGAAGGAGAAATTCAGGCTCCTCTGACACAGGGCCATCTGACTATAAATCTCCTGCTGAAAATGCTGCTTGTAGTTTATCATCAAGTAATGTAGTTGTGGGATTTGTCGGATATCCTAATGTGGGGAAAAGTTCAACTATTAATGCTCTGGTTGGTCAAAAACGGACTGGTGTTACCTCTACTCCAGGGAAAACAAAGCATTTTCAGACATTAATTATCTCTGATAAATTGACCCTTTGTGATTGTCCTGGACTAGTTTTTCCATCTTTCTCAAGCTCAAGATATGAGATGATTGCTTGTGGGGTGTTACCTATTGATAGGATGACTGAACACAGGGAATCTGTTCAAGTTGTAGCTGATAGAGTCCCAAGACATGTCATAGAGGAGATTTATAAGATCAGGCTTCCTAAACCTAAGCCATATGAGTCCCAATCCCGTCCCCCTCTAGCATCTGAACTTTTGAGAGCGTATTGTGCTTCTCGTGGGTATGTTGCCTCTAGTGGACTCCCTGATGAAACTAGGGCTGCCCGTCAGATATTGAGGGATTACATTGATGGGAAGTTGCCTCACTATGAAATGCCTCCAGGTGTGTCAAATGAGGAACAAGCTTTGGAAGATCCCACTGGACATGTTTCAGTTGACTTGCATGAATCAGATTCATCTGGTATCGAAGATTCTTCGGATGTTGAGAGTGAAATTGCCCCAAATCTTGAGCATGTATTGGATGACCTCAATTCATTCGACATGGCTAATGGACTTGCTCCAACGAAAGTTACTATGAAGAAGTCTAAGGCATCTCATAAGCACCATAAAAAGCCCCAGAGAAAAAAAGATCGATCTTGGAGAGCAGGCAATGATGATGCCGATGGGATGCCAGTGGCAAGATTCTTTCAGAAACCAGCAAATATGGGTCCTCTGAAGGTTGGATAAGATCATACGTTTTGGTTTTTTACGACACCGTATCTGTTACAGTACACTGTTTATCTGAGGTTTACTATAAAAATATTTGTTTGCAATGCATTGAGGAAATAGATGACCTGAGTAATTTAACTGGAGCTTGCCCCTTAACAGGAAAAAGACGTAGGAATGGAAAATTGGATGCAAAGATTAGTCAGTGTTAAGCGCATTTGTATATTTTCTCTATAGTATTGTGTAAGACGAGGCTGGGCTGAATTATGCCCCATATATAAAGGAGTAGCGAAACGATTGATTGAATTCCTTTTGGTGGTGAAATATCGCTTTGAGCATTGACGAGAGAATTTAAGGATTTGTTTTGGAATTAGATTTTGGAGAGAATAAGACGAAATGGAAAGATTTATGAGATAATTATCTTTATTCAAGGGTTTTAAGCGGGAGATAATTTATAAATTTCCTAAGTTCATCTTTTGAATTTCTTCAATTTAGAAATTATTCTTATTAATATTTCTTTCAAACTTCTAAATAAAGTTGAAATCAATCTAAACGAATGAGTATTGGATTAACAAGTCAGTCTTTCAATTTGTACCTTAAATTGTTTTATTATGTTTACACTATAGTATTTTAAATTTTTGGAAAAATAAAAATCCTTATTTTATGAATAAGAATTTCTTGTAAGTAATGCTAAATTGTAAATTTTTTTAGTATGATAAATTATTGATGTATTATAATTGAAATAAGGATTTCATTTTTTTTTTACATTATTTTGTCAATTTACGAAATATAAATAATATAAATTCCTTGGCTTTAAACTTTATTGAAAAAATAAAAGAAAAAAAGTATAGAAAGTTGTTTCTTTAACTATTTATTTAATCTTATTTTTCGCGTTAATTATTTTGGAGAAAAATATGTTAGAAGCGCAAACATTTTAACTGGTGTCGGGTGATCTCCTAAGAGAATATTTGTTTTCTATTTTAAAAACAATTTTCTATTTAAATGATAATAATAATACAAACATACCCTAAATTTCTAACATTATCGTCATGCTATAAGTTTTTTATATAAAAAAATTACATGTTCAAGACCTTGTTTTACGGTTTGCTTTTTTATTATAAGTTTACGGTTTTACCCCGCCAACAGAAAGTAAAATGTCATTTTTTTCATATGATTAAGTTTGGTTTGTTTTGAAGGTGTAAAGTTAAAATTTATATATTTAATGAAAACATGTAATTTAAATTAATTAAAAACACATTTTTAAGAATTATAGTTAATTTTTTATAATTAATATCATAAAAAGTTAAAATTGAAATTAAACGAGTGCAAAAACTTACAGAAATAAAATATCTGCATTAAAAAAAAAGTGGTCATTATTGTTATTTGATTTTTGGGATTTGATTAAATTAAAACAAATAGAAGAGGATAGCATACCGATCTGGCAGGAAATTTGGTCCATGTGGGCTTGCCTATGAGATTCCACCTGACATGAAAAACAATAAAAATGATGATCTTCTCGCTCACTGCGCCAAACATAAATTCCCCACCGCACTTCAACTTCAAATAATTAATCCACACGTCCTACATACAAAGCACACACCAGACTCGGTTAAAAAGACAGCATTGAATTTATGTATTTCAATTCTTTAATTTATTGTTTATTTTTTAATTACGTAATTATATTTAAGTATCAATAATTGTTTTTATTTAATATATAATTGTTACTGTTATTATCAATTCTTTTACTTCACTTTGTGTTGTTTATTTTTCCATTTTACATGTCGTTTTAACACAATTTAATTTATCTTAAATTATTTTCATTTTAGATTATTGAGAAGGTATTTATTTTTTTCCTTTAATACTTTTATTTGTAAGAGATAATTATTATTAACTAATCACTGTAAAAAATAAATATCATTTTAAGAGTTATTCTTATCAGCTAACTACTATAAATGTACTTAAAGAAGCTACTACAATTAAAAAAGATTAATTATTTTAAATAAAATAAATTTATTAAAAGTGTTAAAATTATTATAATAGTTGGTAAAAATTAACTTCTACAATTTTTTTTAGTTGTTAGTTAATAAAATTTATTTCTAATAAATAAAGTTAGCCAAAAAAACAATTTTTAATGTGTGCTTAAATGCACACATTAAGAATTTATGTATTTTAAAAAAATTATAGAATATTATAAAATTCAATGTATTAATAATAAACAAATACTTTAGTTTAATTTTTTTTTTATTTCTTTAAAAACACGTTAACAAAATTCATTTTATAGGTGCAGTCATTCTCATTGAGTTTCTCAATGTATATTGTTGGTATGATTTTGGGGTTGAAACCAACTTAGTGTAAAGCATACAATCTACATAAAAAATTACTGTTACATGCTCAAGGATTACAAGTATATAATATAGTCCTCATATACGTATTTTTGTTTTCAATTCGGCCTATACACTTCACTGTATTGTAAATTTATAATACTAACACACGTTATATATTAACAATAAATGACAAATATTAAATTGTAAAGATAATTTAATTTTTTATATAGAAAAAATAAATATTAATATATGATCACCAAAGATATGTTTTAACCATTTATTAAATTGCGAATACAATGGTAAGTGGTAACGTAATATGTATTTAAATCTAGACTGAGTACTGACATGAAAATTTGTTATTATATGCCAATAAAATATAAATAAATTTAAGACATGATAAAAAAAATAAAATAAATCGATAGCTACTGACTAACTTGTAAGTCCCATTATAATTTTTTTAAAAATAACATAAATTATTTCATCTTGAAGTTTCAGCAGGTATGTGAAAATAAAAATATTAATATTGATCAGATTCCTTAATTATTATTTTTTTTGCCAATGTAGTTAGATCATTTTTTATATTTTTGTTTAAGTAAAAAATATTGATTTAAAAAATATAAAAATAATCTAACTACAGGCTACTGCAGGAAATTTAGATTCCTATTTTACTAATTTTTCAATTCTTTTCTTATATTCTCTCTTCAAACACACACCGGTATAAAAGTAAAATGTTAATTGATTAATGTTTTATGTTAAAAAATAAAAAAAAACTATAAAAATATTGTAAAATTTGTATAATTTTAAATAGAATTTGATGTAATTTTTAAAAAAATTTGTTAATATCGAACTGAGAATAAATTGTTAATAATAATAAAATTTTATTATATTTTTATAACTTTAATATAATAATTATATATTTTTTATAAAAAAAATTATTTATAGATGTTTAAATTTAATTTTACATGCTAAACTTAACAAAATTTGTTTTAAAATTCTTTTAATTAATATTGTTAGAAAAAATCACACACCTATGTGCATTTTTGTATGTAGGTTTCGTAGAGCCACATGCACATCATCCACAAAGTGCTATCCTCAGCAATTAATATTCTAGTATTTCATAAATAGGGATGGCAATGGGTAGGGTATTACAGTACCCATTCCCATACCCGCATTTTAAAAAAATACTCGTACCCAGCCCCATACCCTCGTGGGTATGAACATTAATCCTCGTACCCGTACCCTCTGGGTACCCGCATACCCGTCTTGTACCCATTACCCGCACTTGTTTGAGAAAAAAATATTTATAAAGAAAAATATGTTTATATAACTTCACATAAGTAGCATAATAATACAAAAATTCAATATGTAGTTGTCGAACAAGGTACAAATATAGATAAAAAAATAAATATTCAAATATCATAAATGTTAAATGTATCTTAATATAATAATTTTCTAAACTAAAATTCTTAGAAACAATAAGTAAAACTAAACACACAAGTTATTTGTCAGTGATAATCCTATCTTGTGTGAGATTTGATTGTTGGTAATGTCAGAACGACAACGAAATAGATCTGTACAATAGTTGTCCCTTCGTGTGGGATCACTTAGTAACTTCTTGTGACGGCATTAACAACTAATTTTAATGAATAACATTTCATAGTTATTAAGTTTTAGTAAGACAGACATTGAGAATGAGAATAGAGTTAGAGTAGAAAAATTCAATATTAACAACAAAAAGTTGATACATAAAATATTTTTTTTAACTTTTGAATTTAAAATTGTAAGAAAAATAATAGATTTAATTAAAATAATATAATATATATATATATATATATATATATATATATATTAAGACTAGTATTTTTTAACTCATATATTATACGAAAGTATTTTATTAAAAATATAAATTTTTAAAAAATTATTTTAGTGAATTAAATATTTATAATGTATATAAATTTTAAAAAAAATAATTTGAATAAAAGATAAATAGTTACAATAAAATTTTATAATAAAGAAATATATGTGTATATTAAAAAAATTAACAAATAAAAATTAACAATAATTTTTTATATTTATATCTTTTCAAAAACTTATTTGAATGTGAATAAATAGTAAGAATAATATTATTTAGATTCAATAGATTATAGTTGTACTTGTAATGCATATGTTACATAGAAAAATATTATTTTAAATTAAAATATAAAAATAAAATTTAAATATTATTAATAAATAATAAGTTTACGGTAATAGTAGGTGATTGTAAAATTTATAAAATATTTATAATATATTTATTATTTATCATTCACTTTATGATTTAAACATCAATATGATTTTATTAACAAAAATATTTGTGTAAAAAATATTTTATGTGTATCATATATAAATAATATTTTAAAAAAAGTCAATCTTATATTAACTATGTAATAATTAAATTGTGTTAGCCTAATTAAATGATATAAAATAGTAAATAAATTTTTCTATTAAAAATATAAACCAAAATAAATTTTTTGGTTTACTTTATTATTAAATATATTTTTATATTAATCTTATATAATTTCACATAAGTAATATAGTAATACAAAAATTTAATGCATAATTGTAGAATAAAGTTCAAGCATATATATATATATATATATATATATATATATATATATATATGCGGGTATGGGGTAGGGTGAGTTCTTAGATACCTATACCCGCACCCATCCCCATTAAAATTTGTGGGTTTTTACCTACACCCATACCCGTATAGCAGGTAAATACCCTACCTATTATGGGTAAATTTTGCAGATGCCCATTAAGTACTTTACACATTGTCCTCCCTATTCATAAAGGGTATTTCCCGTAACGAGAAAGAATGTGTATTTTCATGTTTTGAGAACTCACCTAAACTTGTCATTCATCAGCATTAATGTCTTTAGGGATAAGATAGCTTCCCGCTTTAAATATTTGGTCATAGTTAATACGTAGAGAGATTAACATAAATTATTTTGACTGCTGTTTTAAGAATTTTAATCATTAGATTAGTAGTTGAAGATTTAAATTACTATTGTATTGGTTTTTTTTTTCCTATAAATAGATCTTCTAAAAATTTAATCAATTATTTAATTAATTTTTTAATGAATTAATTAAGTGACTGCAACTTTTAAAATACTATTAGTATCATGATAGCGTAATTTTATATAATTAAATTGATAATTTGTCCTTATGTTCTTACTGTTACATTTTTAATTTTTTTATATCCTTAATATTAATACTAAAAATTAATGCCAACAAAGTCCTTTTTCTTATGTCTTACCATTATCTTTTCCCCCGTTTTTTCCTATTATTACAATTCTCATTTCCAATAATCTCCCATTGCTTTCATGGTTAGTCATCTCTAAATTCACATAGCTATGATTTAACACAAAAAGTACAAGCAAAAGGTAAATATGTATCGTCCTTTTGTTTTATACGAAAAAGTGAAATTAAAATATACACTTAAACATTTCACAAAATTTGTATTCACGATAAAATTAGATACGATAAAAGTCAAGTGTAATATTTTTATTATTAAAAAACATAAGAGTTAATTTTTGAATATATTATTTATTAATTTATTTTTATACATTTATTTATCATAAATTATGTATAATAATTATACTTATTTATAACTCATATTAGTATATATATATATATATATATTAAATATACTATAAATTTATGATATATAATTTTTTTATAATATTAAAAATTTATTTGTTTATTTATTATTAAAAAGTCTAGACATAATAATTTTTTATAAAAAATTATTACACATAACCTTTTTATCTTGCATGTTATAAACAAATTTGATATATCACTTTTCTTTCCTTTGACTTATTGACATGCATAGTTCTCAAACGATGGATGTAATGAGTACAAAATAAAAGTTTAATTATGTTGCTTAAATCGTCCACCCTTAATTAATGTCATTAAATTTTTCGTTTTCTGTCTAAGAGACTATATTAATTTTTTGCGGGCCATTTACTGTTTGCTTATCATTAAAACAAAAGTCAACGCTAATATATTGCTGTATCGAAAAAAAAAGTTACAATTAATAGATGCTTACTTCAATGTTAATATTCAAATCTGAGTTTTAAAGTACAGTTTTTTTTTTTGTTGACATATCTGCTGTTAGCTGAATAAATAATTATGTTTAGGAACATGTTTAAATCTGTTTTATTGTAATTTTTTTCAGTAAATTCTTTACTATTAAATTATCTCAAATAAAGCCTTTTTTTTCTATTAACATTTTTCGTTTTTTTTATGTAAGTATGTATTTAATTTAGCTTTTTCTAAAATTTAATTATATCAATATCGTGTGACAAATAGAAAATTATTCTAAAAAATGCTATAAATAATTGTATTAATGCAAAAAATGAGTGATTCAACAACAACACATGAAAAGTATACGCAAATTATTCCTTTTTGTGGTGTTATTCACTTATCACGTTATTTTTTCCTTCTGATTTATAGTTTTTCGTTTTACGCATGATAAGTTGAAAAGTAAAACTAAAACAAGAACAACTTTTGTTAAAATATGAGAAATTCATTCAATCAATACTAAAAAATGGTTATTATATTTTTTTGAACTTTTTAACTTGTATACCCACTACTTATACTGGATAGAAAATCATTAAAATGTTAACTAAAAAACTCCCAAATGATATTAGATAAAAAAGGGAAAATTTTCCAAATACAGCATGTGGTGTATTCTTCCACGTTTTGGGTAGTAACAATTTAAAAGAAAAAAATGAAAAATAACGATAGCTTGCTGAGTTGTTAATGTAAACCCCTCTTGCACAAGGCAAACTTTCCTTAGAACTAGGAGCCGGTGAACACCGTTAATAGTTAAGCAAATCCCCGGTTGTCCCGGTCACTCCTTTTCCGTTCTCCGCTCTGGCGCCGCCCCCAGTTTCATCCGTACACACACCCTTACCGGCACATTCCGGTCGCTGGCTGCACCCTTCTCTTCTTTCTTCTGTACAAACAAGAAAATACTGAATAATTGAATATCAATAAATACATACCCTATTATTTTTAAAAAAAATATAGAAAGGCAGAAAAAAAAGTAGCGAGAGAAAGATACGACCCCTTTGTCTGAGAGAAAGTAATTGGGTTTTGTTTTTTTTAATATTTTTTTTTAATTTTATTTTTGTGCTTCGGGTTTGCGATTGTGTGTGAGATTGTCTCCTCCGTTTCGTTTCGTTTCGTTCACCGCTTCTTTCATTTCTCTGAGTTTGGCACAGAAGAGAGGGAAGGATTCGGAGGACGAGAGAAAAAGAGAAAGGAAAAACCTAATTGAATTTCTCTGTTTTCGGAAAATTTACGTGGGTTTTATTTTGTTCATTTGAATTGAAGAGTGGAAGATCTGAGTTAGGGTTTTCATTGGCGCGGCGTTTGGAATTTCTTGAACTGAATCGAAATGTTGGTTCGGGATGCGATTTCGCGGGAATTCTAGCTCCGATCTTGGCGGAATTGCTTGAATCTTAGGGTTGAAGAATGGACGTTGATTCGTCGATGGTGCCGGAGGCCGATCAAGATCCGGCGGTGCAGAACCATGCCGAGAGAGAGCAGCTAGGGGAGTCGCCGTCGTCGTCGCCGTCGAGCGGCGGAACTCCGGAACAGTCGCCGGTGCAACAGCAGGCGGCGGGGGGTGCTCAGGTGCAGCACAGTCCGGTGGTTGGTCCGAGGCTCGCGCCGACTTACTCAGTGGTGAATGCGATTTTGGAGAAGAAGGAGGATGGACCAGGGCCGCGGTGCGGCCACACGTTGACGGCGGTTGCGGCGGTTGGAGAGGAGGGAACGCCTGGATACATTGGTCCGAGGTTGATTTTGTTTGGCGGTGCCACTGCGCTCGAGGGGAATCCGGCGGCTTCAGGGACTCCTTCATCAGCTGGAAGCGCTGGCATACGTATGTATTTTACTTTCTTGTTTTGTTTTCCTGAAAACAATAGCGGAGCGTAGATGCAGCTGCCGAGTATATTGAGTTTTGGTTTTGTTAGTCTGATTAGAATTTGGAAATTTATGCTACGCACTTTGTATGCTTGAGGTATTTTAAAGCTGAGTTAAATTTAGCTCCACAAAAAGTTATTATAGATGTGTAAATACCTAGGCGTCGATTGCATTGTTGTTTTAGGTCATGGAAATGTAAATGTGATGACAGGCGGATGGTTATTCATAAACTATGGCTCTTGTGAACCTTGCTTTGGATACTTCATACCTAGCAACATAATCCAATAAAATGAGTTGAGTGTGTATAGAATATTTACTTATCTCGCTGTTTTATTGCTTTGTTTCCTTTTTTATGGTTGGTGGGTAAAATTAGAAGTATATGAAGTTTCATTTTAAAACATTTCCATTTTCTAGGCTTTCTGTCCCTCTTTGTTGGTGTTCTCACCAACATCGGACTGTTCTCCGTATATTAAGAACCGTAATTAAAACAGGTTTCTCAATCTAATTAATGGTGAAAATTACCTGCTTTTCTTATTGCTCTTCATTTATACATCTTTTATCCTTCCATGCAGCCATGCTAATATCATAGATAACTGCCAATAACAGAAGTTGCACATCCTATCCACGTGCATGCCTTTATTGCTTTTACGCAGGATGGGGGTGGTGCTTTGAACGTGGCTCTTCCTTCTTTAACTACACAGTCTATACTAATCATAAACCTCTGATCCTATGACTTCTGTTGGGGTGGCCCAATAAGTCTGAACTAGGGAGTAGGGAACATTTCATTCCATTGGCTGTCTTTGCTTCCTCCAATATAATGTGTCATAAGCATGGAGTCAGTGGTTTTTTCTGTTATTTTCATTGCCTCCATCTCATTCTGATCTATCCCATTCCAATCCACTTATTATTTTTACTCGTCAGTACTGCTATACTAATTTTATGCCAGAATTCTATTTCATTATTATTATTTATGTCTTCACCCATCACTGGCCAACCCAGTGAACCCCAATCCAACTTGCTGTGAATTATGCAATGATTGTGTCTGTCTGAAGTTTTTTATTGCCCCTTTTCCTGTTGCCTTCCTTGCTGTTGTATATGTGTATGCATATACTGCTAAAGTTTTTGTTTGAAATATTGATTGCGATGGATCATGGAAACATTCCGTAGTCCATAAACTTTGGATTCATAAAAAGAAACTGTTTTATATGTGGGGAGATGCTTGTTTGCATGTTTGGCTTCTTTGTTTATTTTCCGAATACCTGAAAATCTATTTTTTCATAAATTACAGCATGAAGTAGTGTCAACACTAAATTAACCCAAATTATGTGACATGGTTTCACATGGTTGATGGTTTGTTGTTGCTATTTGTGGTGTGATATTTTTTTTCTTTTTGAAAATATCCCAATTATTTGATATACTACTACTGATCAAAGAAGGGGAAAAAAAAAAAGAGATTGAAGAATGTTCGGTTTCTCATTTTGTGAGGGATGCTGCAAGATGAACAATGCTTTTCCTAGATTTCATACATTTCCTTTCCTTTGGATAAGTGCCAATATTGATTGGATTGGTTATATTTATGCTTGAAATTTGTCATGACTGGTATAATTCATTTGCGCTGCAGGTTTAGCTGGTGCCACTGCTGATGTCCACTGTTATGATGTTTTGACTAATAAATGGTCTAGGTAAGCTCAGGTTATTCTTTCCAGTCTTCATTAAGGCTTATCCAATGCTTGTATAGCCTTATGTACTTTGCTTCAGTGCTTATATAAGGAAAATTTTATGCAGGATAACTCCCATTGGAGAGCCTCCAACCCCAAGGGCTGCGCATGTGGCAACTGCTGTTGGAACAATGGTAGTTATTCAGGTAATGTGGAGAAGACATCTCTTAAGCTAACTAAGCATTGGTTAATTTATTTCCTCTCAATGATGAACTAAATTCTTAGTGGTGTATTGCAATGTAAAACAGGGTGGGATTGGTCCTGCTGGTTTGTCTGCAGAAGACCTCCATGTTCTTGATCTCACTCAGCAACGGCCGCGATGGCATAGGTTAGAATAGTAACATATTTTCTTTTCCTTCTTAATGACATTTATCTGATACAGTGGATTTTTAATGTCGTTTAGAGTTGGTGTTCCAGGCCCTGGACCAGGGCCACGCTATGGACATGTTATGGCTTTGGTGGGGCAGAGGTATCTCATGGCAATTGGAGGCAATGATGGTAACTACCCAAATGCTAAGCCCTTTTACATTGTTTGCGGTTTGATCTTTGCTCTGAATGTAAATTTATTGGAAGTTACACTTGTTTTATCCCCTCTTTCTAGGAAAGAGACCTTTGGCTGATGTATGGGCCTTGGACACAGCTGCCAAGCCTTATGAATGGCGCAAGTTGGAGCCAGAAGGAGAGGGTCCTCCTCCATGCATGTACTGTGTCATTGAATTTTACCTTTCTTGACTAATATCTAGACTTTGTTGTGCATTTATCAATTCAAATGCTATGAATATTATTACACCTTTCTTGGTTCATAGCCTTTGATGTCAAGGACTAGGTTCTGAGGGAAGCCCTTTCTTATTCCATAGGCTTTTATGTCTTGAACTAGGTTCAGAGAGCTAGCATTTACTGATTGTAATTGAGTTGAATAGATTTAAATATTTTGTTTCCACTTTTTTGATTTTATGTAGATAGGTTGGTTTGTTAAACTTGTATTCTTTGTGGATTAAATTTAGTTGTTAACTTTGTTTCACTTGATTTTATATTATTTGGATGTCAAAAAGTGGGTTGCCCCATTTTTAAATGGTTTTCTTCGTGCCTTCATTGCCTTGGGTTTGTTTCTAATTATCTATGTTCTAATTCTCCATCTTATTCTGCCATAGTGCCATGTCAAGTATATCATACATAGGTTTACTATTGCATTTTATACTTGGGTGGTATATTGGTTGATCATTGCTTTATTCTTTCTTCAGTTTGGGAGCTGTTTGATATTAGAGTAGAACCATCTTTATATTCTGTTTGCTTTCCTGTGTGATGATAATGAGGCTGCATGTTAGAGTAGGGCTGCTTGAATTGAAGCTTGACTTATTTTGTGGAATATGTTGGAAGCAGAAGAGTGAAATGTTATATTATTCTGCAATGGACAAGACTCTTCTAATGTGATTTTGTAACTACACTGAGCAAGTAATGGTCTATCTACCTTTAATTTAATAAAGTACATCATTATCTTAATCTTAACACTAAATGATGGAAGGATGAATACACCCTTGCTCACTTTGGAGACAAACTCGCTTTAGAGGAGGAGCTTTTTCCTTCTGTAATTTAGTTATTATTTGATCAATCATGACAAACTTTGCTAAAGTCATGATTAGCATCAAAATTTTTTGTGGAATGAAGTAAGCTCATTATTGCTGTGTTTTTATAAAGCGCAAGAGGATACTTTAGGAACCTTGATAAATGTCATCAAATAATCTGTAGTTTGTACAACTTCCTTGTATTTATTTAAGTTGGCTTTCATTTTGTGATTGAAATAATTTTTTACAATATGGGTTGAGTTGCTGTTTTGTGATTTGCTTTTGAACTTTTGAGCAGGTATGCAACTGCCAGTGCACGATCAGATGGGCTTCTTCTGCTTTGTGGAGGGAGGGACGCCAATAGTGTTGTGAGTTATATATTAAAAAAATTTCACTTTCTCTTTCTACTGATTTGATTACCTAGGAATCTTCCTCATACATAATCTTAGTTTGTCATTGATATTTTCCCTTTATATTCCCTTGTATGTGGCTTGCCTGTATGGTGGCTCATCCAGAGTTACCTTTGGCAAAGAGCAGAGAAGAGTTAATTATCCCCTTTTTGTAAGCTATAGAGTATAGAGGTAGCTTAAGATTGTTTTCTCAACTCATCCTACTACTACTTAGTTCTGCATCTACCTGCTTGCTATATAAGAAAAAATTATCATAGAGAAGAGAAGTAAACTATGGGTGAGGATGAGGTATCCTCAGAGTTGGAAAACAAAATCTAAAACAAAGATACCAGGAGTGGACAGTCAATTCCTTCTGCAAATTGAATTAATCCAAAGAATGGTATATGCCTTTTGATTCTTCAAAAATAAGTGATGTTCTGTTTATGGGCTTGATTTGCATGTGATACACATCAAGGAAGAGAGTGATGTAAGGCTAACAAATCTGTTGAAAATAGTGTTGTATTCATCCTGTTAAAACTGCTGTTTGAGCAAAGGAATTTACTTTTGAGGGAACTTTGAACTTCAAGATAGTTTTGTCTTGGAGAAACCTTCAACAGTTGATGGAATGAGTGAGAAATTTGAGGAGGATAAACAAGAGAATAATCCGGAGGTGCCCAGATTCCAAACCCTTCTATTGGAATATGCACAGAAGTGAGTAGATCAAGTGAATTAAGAAAAGTGATGACATCTCAATCCCTTCTGCTCTACACCATGTTTACTCTTAATTACTTACTTCCTTAGAGAGGTAGATCTTTGAATGAAAAGCCATAACCACATAACCCCTTCATTTTTTCAAAATACAGCACAAAATCCAACTAACTAACAACAAGTACCAAGATGATTTCATTGTAGATTGCACTCCCCTGACCAAGCATAATCTCTCTTTCTCCCTCATAATTTTTTTTTTTTCGAAATTTTTGCCTCTCCCTTTGGAATACGTATCTTTGTTGAATCTTGGTACCCTACACATTTAATTTTAGAATCTGACTGACCCATATATAGATATGGTTGTGATGGAATCCACTGATAAATAATTGAATGTTTTCTTTGATAATTAAATTAAAATAAATGCACTCAGAAGCTGTTGAAATTGAGAGTACTTTTTGGTGATAGGGTGTTGAAGTTCCGACAACTCTACCAAATATTTAATTGCTCAGGCAGGCTATCAACCTGCAAATAAATGTTGGACACTCTCCTGGCAGATGTCCTTGATAGTTGTGGCTATTTTATGTTCAAAATAGTGCATGTTTGGTTCAGCTTAATTTGAGAAAATAACTTTTGAAAAATAAGCAATTATTTCCTTGAAAAAAAAGAAAATCCAAACATGTACTTAATGTGTCTACTGATAGTTATTCCTATCCTATCAACTTCTGTCTTTTGTTTCCTATCATATTTTCTTATTAACAAACACTAGTTAGTGGATTCATGTAATTCTATTTAGTTTCTGTTAAATATTTTTGTGACTTGTGAATTGCTTACTTCTAACTTTCTGTTCATATTTTCTTCCTCCCTTACAGCCATTGGCAAGTGCATATGGACTTGCTAAGCATAGAGATGGTCGTTGGGAATGGGCAATTGCCCCTGGTGTCTCACCATCTCCAAGATATCAGCATGCAGCGGTGGGATTTAGGTTCTTTTATTTTTTTTCTTCATTGATTGTATATTCCAAGGATTGTAATTTACTTGTTTAATGATTCTAGGTGTTTGTTAATGCGAGGCTCCATGTGTCTGGCGGGGCACTTGGAGGAGGACGAATGGTTGAAGATTCCTCAAGTGTTGCAGGTACTTGATTGTGGTGTTGCTTAAAATTTGTGCGTATTGACTGTTTTTTCTTTGTTATCTTTGATCTTAGGCTAAAATGCAAAGTTATAACTGTTTATTGAAAAATCAACAGCTAAGATTGTAATAAAATATATGCACAACAAACTATGAAGTTAAAATCTTTTCCTTTAATTTTTAAATTGGCAATTATAACTTTCTACATAATCCTCTAAAGTGTATCCCTGACTTTAGAGGGGCCAAATTAGTTATGAACTAGTCATTGGTCTCCACACCCTTACTCTGTCTATCTTCCCTTACTCTTGTGGACATAGAATGACTTTTCTTTTAGTGAAATTAAGAAAGAGAATATTCTTGTTGAAAAATCCGGATGACCTGTTGTAAGCAATAACAAATACTTTTGGGGTTTCATTACTATTGTAGCTACTGTTTGTAGGGTAGCTTGCTGGTGCCTAGTTGCTGCTGTAGCCTTTAGTTATTTTTTAACAATGGTAATATTTTTTTTTGTATTTTTTATGTGAAAGCAAGATTTATTGTTTTAAGTTTTTTCTTATGTTTCTCTGCCCTGTTTATAGTGTTGGACACTGCTGCTGGTGTTTGGTGTGATACAAAATCTGTTGTTACCAGTCCAAGAACAGGTAGATATAGTGCTGATGCAGCTGGTGGAGATGCTTCAGTTGAATTGACACGTCGTTGTAGGCATGCTGCTGCTGCTGTTGGTGACTTGATTTTTATTTATGGTGGTTTACGTGGTGGTAAGTGATGAATCAAACTTTTATGGATTCATGTAAATGGAATTTACTTTCCATTTGCTTGACATCGCATGATAATTTAATCGCTGCTATACATTAGGTCACCCTGCTTTCTGATGACAACTTAGTAACTTTGTCGTAGTCGATTTACATGTTATATTTCACTTAGTATTTTGGCTATTTTATTTTATTTTATCTATATTTGGACTTGAAGCAGATGGTAGAGAATGTAAATGTCTTTTATATCTGAATATTGTTTCTTAAATGGTGCTAGAAGAGTTGGGAAATATAAACTTATGAAATAGCTTAAATTGCTTGATGAACTTAGCTTAAATTCTGTTGATCAAAAAGCATATTTAGCTAGGTGTTTTTGAGGAAAAAATAGAGTTGAATTGGAACTGTTAAGAGAAACATGGGGGGTAAGGGTATAATTATTCAACTAGGTTTATTATTGGCTTAGCTCATGGCAAGAGTAAAGAATTATAGATAATGCCAATTAACAGTTACTGAATTCTTTCTTCTCATATTTGTTTAGGGATTTAACTTATTGTGGTGAGTTGTAATATTTTACTTGATAAGCAAGACTAACTGTGACTGCAATTGTGTTTATGCTACAGGAGTCTTGCTGGATGACTTACTTGTTGCTGAAGATCTTGCGGCTGCTGAAACAACAAATGCTGCTTCACATGCTGCTGCTGCTGCAGCAGCATCTAATGTACAAGTGATACGACTACCTGGACGATATGGGTTTGTTGATGATAGGATAAGGCAAAACATGCCTGAAGCAGCTGCTGATGGTGCAGTTGTTTTGGGAAATCCAGTTGCCCCCCCTATGAATGGTGACATATATACTGATATCAGCACTGAAAATGCTGTGCTTCAAGGGTCCAGGTACAGAAGCTTTTATCATCTGAACATCTCATTGGGTGAAATATTGAACTGTTACTTTGGCTTCATCATTCATGTGAAGAATTTTGAATAGGCGAACTAGCAAAGGAGTTGAGTATCTAGTTGAAGCATCTGCTGCAGAAGCTGAAGCTATCAGTGCAACACTGGCTGCTGCCAAGGCACGACAAGTGAATGGAGAAGTTGAATTGCCTGACCGAGATCGTGGGGCTGAGGCAACCCCTAGTGGGAAACAAATATCTTCCTTGATTAAGCCAGATTCTGTGGGGTCAAATAGTATTCCTCCTGGTGGAGTGAGGCTGCATCACAGAGCTGTGAGTAATACACTTTGGTTGCCAAAGAAAAATTATGCTGTGTCAAGAATTGCATGAATATTCGAGCCCAATTTCTGTTTGTGGGAATTTTCTGCAGGTGGTTGTTGCTGCAGAGACTGGTGGGGCATTAGGTGGCATGGTTAGACAGCTTTCAATTGACCAGTTTGAAAATGAAGGCAGGCGGGTCAGTTATGGGACTCCGGAAAGTGCAACAGCTGCTAGAAAATTATTAGATCGGCAGATGTCTATCAATAGTGTCCCAAAAAAGGTACAGAGTTGTCTCTATAACTAGCCATAATTGATTGTAAATATTTATACTAATAATATTAGAAAATTATTAATGTTGGTCCACTATAATATTTTTTGACTATCAATGATGGGTTGCCACATTATTATTTGAGATTGACCTCTCTGACAGTGGATATCATGGTCAAACTCTTCTCAACGATGTTACAAACATATGCTTGGATGATCATGATAGTGTAAAAACTTTTAATGCTAATAGTGGATCAAAATTTCACTCTGTAAAAGCTAATACATATTTAATAATAAGGTCATAGTAGTGGGTCAGGTGCACTATATCTAATTGGCTTAAAATAACATGAACTATTAAGTGCCCACTTGAGCTACCGAATCTGGGAGTCATGTGTAGGATCAGGTGCAGAACATTTGATTAGTCATGTTTCATTAGCCCTCCTTTTGTTGTCATTGCCTACTCTACAACTCTTCTGCTCATGGAAATATTTTGAATGTGATGTTGAATCTTAATTTTTTTTTTTTATGTATGCATGATGATTTTTTTCATAACTATTATGTAAATCACCCAGCATGTTGGCTTCATATTATGTTCAGTTTGTTTCTTATGAATTTTCTGACTTTTTTTACATAGGTTATAGCTCACCTCTTAAAGCCTCGTGGTTGGAAACCACCAGTGCGTCGACAGTTTTTCTTGGAGTGCAGTGAAATAGCAGATCTTTGTGATAGTGCAGAGCGTATATTTTCAAGTGAACCAAGTGTATTACAGCTCAAGGCACCAATTAAAATATTTGGTGATTTGCATGGGCAGTTTGGGGATCTCATGCGCCTCTTTGATGAGTATGGTGCACCATCAACTGCTGGTGACATAGCGTAAGTTTCTTAGTTCCGACAGGTAGTTTTTTTTTTTATGTGAATAAAAGATAATTACTGTATGCCACTAATGTTGTGCATTACATTGTCTGTTTTCTGGCTAAAACCTCTGGTTCAATAGGTTATTTATCAGCGTGTCTAAGATGTTAAAACCACAACCTGCCTTCAATTATTTGTGCCAGTTGGTTTGCTACCATAATTCAGTTTCAACATTTGTCAAGTTCTTTAGATTGTTAACTTTATTAGTTTTTGTACTCATACGATGCTGTATTCTCTTAGCTTTTTACCACAAGTCTTGTGATTGATTATCCAACACAAACAGTTTAGTGGTCTTATGCTCTCTTTCAATTTTTTATATTCTTGTCTTTGCATTGTGATCTATCTGGCATGGGGAGCTAGCATCAATGTGCATGATACATGCATTCCCTTCTTGGAATAATAACGATATAAATCCATTGCTTTTGTAGTTTTTTATTTAAATATTGGTGCTCTAAATGGGATTTGTCCTAGGTGTAGCTTGTTACTAGATTGATTATTAGATTTAGTGCATATAAACAAATTGTAAAATGTTGATCTGTGAGTTTATGGATACAAACAGAAGAGAATAGGCATTTAATAAGCTTTTCCCCTTCCCCCATAGCTATAGCTAGCATAATATTTTGTTTGGACTATTTTAATGCAAGAGATTTTTGCATTTAATTTCCCATATTGCTAATTTTGTGTAAATGACTATCAGATACATCGATTATCTATTCCTAGGAGATTATGTTGATAGGGGCCAACACAGCCTGGAAACTATAAGCCTTCTGCTTGCTCTTAAGGTACGGTGAATGTATAGTTTGTCTTTTCGTGTTGTTTATCAAGTTTGGTGGTGTCAGGTTTATGCATACTTATTTGAATTTTGCAGGTTGAGTATCCAAACAATGTACATTTAATACGTGGAAACCATGAAGCTGCAGATATTAATGCCCTTTTTGGCTTCCGAATCGAGTGCATCGAGCGGATGGTAAGGAATTTTATATTTCATATAGTATTATAGTCTCATTAAATACTCAAGCAACCTTGTAATTTGCTGACAGGGTGAACGAGATGGAATTTGGGCATGGCACCGGATAAATCGCCTGTTTAATTGGCTTCCTCTAGCTGCACTAATTGAGAAAAAAATCATTTGCATGCATGGGGGTATTGGTCGTTCAATAAATCATGTGGAACAAATTGAGAATATTCAGCGTCCAATTACAATGGAAGCAGGATCAATTGTGCTTATGGATCTATTGTGGTTAGTGTAAATGGATACTTATACATGTTTGTGGCAATTTATTTCATGTCCTTTAGGAGGAATGACGGCATGCAATGTTTCTCTAGGTCTGATCCTACAGAGAACGATAGTGTAGAAGGGCTGCGGCCAAATGCCAGGGGTCCAGGATTAGTTACTTTTGGGGTGAGTGATTATTATCTGTTATCTTGTGAAATGTTTTTATTTTGTTATTAGTTTCCTGGATTGTGATATGAATAGATACAATATTTGATTTTCCTAGATTAGGCGATAAATATATTAATACTAATTAATATAGGTTTGTTAATTTTTTAATGAAAAATGTTATCAAAATCGCTTTTTTATTAGTTTCCTGGATAATGATATTAATAATGATCAATACAGGTTTTTGTGATTAAATTTGATGAATTCAGAATGCTCATGTATTAGTTGTTTTATTCTAGAAAATCCAGTGCAACTTCATTTTGAAGCATAGTTTGAAACTTTTAGATCAATTGTGTTTATGCTCTGAAACTTTTGTAATTGTAACATGCATCAATTAGACAATTATTTTCAAAGTTATGCTTAAAATATAGACTTAAAAAGTTCAAAAGACAAAAGCTGATTGCATCCATTTATAAATGCCGAAGCTTTGAGTTGTACTGCACTTCCCAAATCTCAATTTTCTCTTCCCCTTTGCTGACTAATGCCTACACTATATATTTTAATTGGTAATTGTAGTTATAGGCATTTGCCTTCTTGGATGTTGTCTGTACTTTCTCAGTTGTTGGCTTCTGTTACCTCAATGGGGTTTACTGTTGCAGCCTGATCGTGTCATGGAATTTTGCAACAACAATGATCTTCAGCTGATTGTTCGTGCACATGAATGTGTGATGGATGGCTTTGAGCGTTTTGCACAGGGACATTTGATCACACTTTTCTCTGCTACAAATTACTGTGGTATTTGTTACTGGCCTCTGCTTTGCACGCTTCTCTTAAAGATCGTTTTCCCTTCTAAATTCTGGCACTTCATTATGACAATAGGTACTGCAAATAATGCCGGGGCGATATTAGTTTTGGGTAGAGATCTTGTTGTGGTTCCTAAACTGATTCATCCGTTGCCGCCTGCCATTTCTTCACCAGAAACCTCTCCGGAACGTCATATTGAGGATACATGGATGCAGGTATTATTTCTAAATATTATTCATTAAATGGTTGGCATCCCTTGCGTGCTGCGTAATATTGCACCTATCAAATAAACACGTTCACATCTAAATGAATTTTGAGCTTATCTATTTCAGTGTTATGGGACTAAAGCTATCTTTCTGCAGTTTGGTTTTTGCTAATTCATTCATTTTTTCTTTTGGGGTTAAAACATGTATAGGAGTTAAATGCTAACAGACCACCAACACCAACTAGAGGCCGTCCTCAAGTAGCAAATGACCGAGGTTCGCTTGCTTGGATATAGTGGTCATTAAGAATGCCCCTATTTGTTTATGCCTTAACGGCTTGTGCTATCGCTGAATATACGGTGTCTCGTATATAACATGCCATTTATTGGGTATTCGAGCTTGTGATTTAAATACCCGAAGAAAGCTTGAAGGCTCAAGCTTTTCTTACTATGGTTCTCACCACTCAATCAGCTGGCCTGTGGAAGATGCAAGGTCGGTAGCCACTGCTAGGTTCACTTTGACGAAGGTAGAAGTTGCAGTCTGGGTTCCACCCACCCGTTGTAAATTGAGCCGTAGGTACAAAATCAAGGTCGCGGATGTCTGTGTCATGGATTGTCACTGCTGTCTATTTTTCTCATTATTTTTACATATTTTTTACTCATCGTCCCTAGGTTATTGTTTTTTTTTTTTTTCAATTTTTATTTTAAATCAAGAGGACAAGGAGGGTTTTGCTTTTTTTTTTTTTTTTTTCATGTGATGGTGAGATATATAAATCAGAAATCTTTCCTGGGGTTCCATGTATCATAGGTGTTGTTTTGCGTAATTCCCATCCATGCTCTGTACAACTAATTTTGTGTGAATCAACATATTCTGACAGAAATGTGAATTTTGAGAATAGAATTTTATATATTGCCTTGTGCATCACATAACTTGGACCTTTCCATCCAGTGTATGGCACTTGCGGGCTAATGTTTGTTTGGACGAGACAGAGAAAGATAACGACACTTTTTATTTGACTGGAGAAATTGATTTTTTTTTTAAATCTATAATTCAAAATCTTCTCTATATTTTCTTTTCGTTGAACCAAACGTAGGATTAGTGTGATTTCAGACCACAAATACCAATTCATGCATAGGTTGAGTGAATTTGATTTCTTTTACCTTTTTGAAAGATAAAATATAAATGTAAGTGCTAACTTAAATTACGGTTAAAATCTTATTGACTTCATAATGTTAGTTATCTGTGCATTTACATTTTATCATAATATTAGTTACTTTTAATTAACAATCATAAATATATCTTATTCTCTAAAATACATTTCATTTTAGAATAACAAATTCCGTTTGAGTTGCCGCACATAATAGTTGAAGTGAAGCAAAAAAAATCACTTTTCTTGAAACCATGATAAATTATCCCTTGGTCAAGTTAAGCACATGAAATTCAGCTGAAAGTTAAAGTTTTATTTAAAAATATGAAATTTTGACTAGTTTATAACTTGATTATTATTTTTTATTAAATTTCTTAAAATATGTATATTTTATTGTATTAAATAAATGTTTTTATGCTAGAAAATGAAGCGAGGAGAGTAAAAGTAAAAGAAGATCTTACATAATAATTACAATATATTATTGAAGTTTCTTTTAATCTAAAGTTAACATTTTTTTTGTTATAATATTATATAAACACAAGTTGTTTAGTAAAAATAAATAAACCTACACTGTCTGCTGATGAAGGGCAAACCAGGACGGTTGCAAATATGAGGGGCCAATTAAAGTGTTCGATGATGATGTGGCCACCACCATCGTCTCTGAAGTAGAGGAATGAGATTTAACTGGATTAGATCAATATTATTAAATATAAGCATAATGGAAATCCCCAAAAACCTACGTGTAACCTAACACGTCATCTGTGGATATGTTTATTAGAGCAGTAAATACACCATTTTTATTTTTTATTTTTTGGGTTGCTAAAAACAGTAGGTAATGGTTCGACTCACTGGTTTGACACGACTTCTATCACAAAATTACTAATGATGGTATAGAGCTTAAACTTCGAAGCTATGTAACATCCCAAAATAAGATTTCATGCGGTTGAACAGGTCGACATAAACTAGATTACACTCAATATGCTTCCCATAACACAATGATAAATATTCTTACAGTATCAAGTTGATGCAGCAATAGCCTGCTTGAGTTCTCTCAAACTCCCTATTGATTGTCTACAGAATCTTCAATACAACGGCAGAACCTAACCTCTCTTTACAGGCCTCTGAACATAGGATTTGTTGGGATCTTCTGTCTTAAGCTTAGGTGGGCGAATTTCTCCTTTCTTATTCTGCAGATTGAAACGTAATGAAGTCAAGCAATTCGTCACTTCTTTTGCTCAAAGCAATAGTAGACTGAATATTTGCATGACAATCAAGTTTAAGACTCTCACCTTCTTTCCACCCTTCATAAAATCTCTCCAACTGGATACCTGATAATGAAATTATTTGTGTTAATTTATCCTTCCTTTTGGTGGTAAAAATCAAACATGTTACAGGACAGCACAAAAATAAAAAGAGCACAAGAAGCTTTGTCCAATTGTAAATAACCCGTGCAGAATGATTTGATAGGAAATGTTCCCAATCTCACCAGTGATTTAAACCTAAGAAAAGCAACACAACATTCTAAGATATAAATATTTAATTTGAAGTGGTGCATCCTCTGTTCAAACACCTATTCGCACGTGTGCACCCACACACACATATACTACTATCAACTGATAGGTTGCCATGCCACACTGGCCTTAAACTTCATCACAGATATTAGTTCCCAGGCATTAAAAAATGAAATTAAAATTACTTTTAAGTAAATAGTCAACTTGATGGTTGATGAATAAATGAAGATAAAAAATGAAACAATAGAAAACTAACCCTCTGTTCTCTTGTTCCTTCCCATTCCTCCTCATGTTCACGCTTTCTTTTCCACATCTCTTTCTGTTCTTCTTCATCCCTTTTTAATCTTCCTTCCTCCTCTGATATCTACACGATCATAAACAATTGAGGTCACAGAACATGAATTACTAATGCGAATAATTCCTCTCTAACCCAAGTTGGCATAAGCAGGCAATTCTCTACTGTCCATATTTACACTTTCTTACTACTGACAATTCCCAAGTCATACTGTTTTCTTCTTGTTTTGCCATGGGGAGAAAAAGGGGGTCTTGGAGTGGGGGAGGGGAAGAGAAAGAACTAGAGCATACCCTCATTTGCATTTTTCTTCTCCTCCATTCCTGATCTGTTAATAGTTCACGGACCTTCATTTTCAGCTCTTGTTGGAACTCCTCTGATTGTTCATATTGCTGGTCATATTTACCCTGAGATGCAGAAGAGACAGAGAATGATGCAAATGGAATAGATTTTTTTTTTTTATCAAGAAAAAACAAATATATATTGCCCTTATAATATTTGTAACATACTTTACAAGATTAAAATCCAGTAATCTCACTGTTGAGTGTGTATTTATTCTGCAATGGCGCTGTGAAACTAGACTGGTCGAGCAGAAAAACATGCATGCAAAAGGGAGGGAGATAGGGAGCATTATAAAAGTAAAGGTTGTGCATTCTGAAGTGATTAAGGCCACAACCTGAGATACAATTATAAATGCTAGTAAAATTACACATACCTCTTCAACCAAAGATTTAATTTTTGAAGCTGTATCTTTCTTCAACTGCTTCTTCCTCTTTACTCTAAGTTCTTCTGTAGGCCACATCAATTGGGAAAAAATGAGTTTTTTTTTTAATGTCCCAAAATTTCTAAGATGACATTTATTCGACATATACACAGAAGCAAAATAAAAGAAAAAAAAAAGAAAAGAACTAAATAAATAAATAGAAAAGACGGAAGAAAAACATAACATGGACAATAAAAGAAAAAAATACTTCTTCTTGGGGGTGACAGTGAAGACTGAAGAGAATACTTCTCTTTTTTTGTAATAATGAGAATAATTTATTCAAGGGTTAAGAAAAAATACAGAAAAAAATCTTGTTTTAAAATTTGGGGGTGGTGGTCATGAGGCACCACTCAGGATCCACTACACACTTCCCCTGCTCGAAACACATGCTACAGTAACTCTCCAACAGTGTAATGCAGACATATGAACAAGCAAAAAGAACAGACACCCAACCAAAAACTTATATGCAGGAGGAGTAAACCACGGTACTCAGCAGACAAACAGTCCATAATAAAAACTTTTAACATGAAAAAAGAAAATATTTTTTCTTGGGGGTGTGTGTGTCTTCTAGAGTTACAAAGACAGAACTAGGTTTCCCAATTATGCAGAATCACCTTTCTTAAAGTCCAATACATTGAACCCTAATGAAATGATACAAAATGCCTGGTAAAAAAACAATTTTACACAAACCTTTTGCTGAATTTACTTGGTTAAGAAGGTAATCTCTTTCATTTTGATCAAGCAATAATTGCTGGGCTTTTGCTAGCGCTGCATACAAGTAACACAACTTTTAAGAAATAAACATTAACTTTCATATGAACCCTCTAGCTACAGAACTTGTAATCATAAATTCATAATTGATATCCAATTTTGAAATACTAGCTGCAGAAATACTAAAGTGTGTGTGTATATATATGCACCTGCAAAAGCCTCTTTTGCCTGTGGGTGTTTACATTTGTCAGGGTGAACCAGTAATGACAGCTACAAAAGATTAGCAAAAGAATGTGTTAAAAGAGGCCAACAAAACAGTTAAAACTTAAAACAGCCCTCATCAAGAGGAAGGAGTTACCTTGCGATACTGCCTCTTGACATCATCAGGCGAAGCCTCAAATGACAGGTTCAGATACTCAAATGGATTTAACTTAAAACACGAGAGAATCCTGCAGAACAAATTAAAGCAAAGAAAATGTTGACAAGCAAAGCGCACACATAATTCAATACAACAATAACATTACTTACTTAGAAGATAAATGTTTCGTTATAACTTATAAGAACCAAATCCAACCACTGAACACAATCTTGTTTCTTTTCTAGTTTCTATATATCTTCACTAGGATCCTTTCAGCCACTACCATTGCCTACAAACCATCAATTACCGATTCCCCATCCCTTCCTTTTAGGTCTCATAATCACTGTCATTCATGCATCTCTCAATATCTTCACCTTATATAATTTAACCTCAATATGTAGTTGACAATCATACTAACCCTAACATATTATTTGTATCTATCTCTTCCAGTTTTTATTTTTTATTTTTACAAAAATCCATTCAAATATGAAAAACAAACTACATAGTCAATTGTATACTATGAAGACACCAATAACCGAAACAACGCACAATTTGAAATCATCACAGCTGAGGAAGGGGCATGCATAGAATTAATTATACAGGAATAACTGCCAAATAAAGAAACCCTAACAGTGGTAACAAAGAACAAATTAGAATCAAGTAGAGAGAGAGAGAGAGAGAGACCTGATTACTTCATTGTCTCTCTCTACTTCGCTGACCTCGGCGAAGAAGCTTTTGAGAAGCAAATTGTCGTCGACGTTGGTCTCTCCCATTACCACCTTCACACTTCCTTCTTCCCCAACGCATTCGATTTAGCGTTTTCTCTTTTACTATTTAATTTCTCCAAGATGAATGAAGGGAGGTGTAAAATATGAAGTGGAGAGTTTTATTTATTATTAATTATTAGTCTAACTTAACATATTTTATAAACATAATTAGTTTCAAGTCGAAGGTGGATACATTTTTATTTTCTTACTTTATATTTATTTTTTTACTTTAAAAAACTATATTTGAAAATATATTAAAAATCCTAATTTGTAAATGGATAAAAGTTTCTTATTGATATATTTTGTTCTGTTTCTTTTCATCTAATTTTTGAAGAAAAAATAAACATTTTACTTTTAGAAATTTAAGATGATATTAAATATTTCTGAAAAATTATATCCTTAACTTAAAATAAAAATATTTAATTAATAAAAAAAACACAACATGCCTCGATGATAATTTTAATAAAATTATAATATTAAATATAAATTTTAAATGTGTATTTAAAACTAATGTTTTAGAAGGAAAATGTTTGAAAGATAAGAAAAACATAATTAGAGAAGAAAGATATTTAATACAAAATTCTCGAAATTAAAAAATTAATAGAATTAAGACAATTTTTTAGAAAATTATAAACCCCATCTCTTGTTTAAAAAAATTTAAATAAAAATAATTATCACATAAATTTTATTTTTCTTCAAAATATCAACTCTATTAAAACGGATAAACAAATTTGGACCAAATAGTACTAAGATAATTATCAATTGCGATGGACGGGTGATTTTTATAACTTATATATACAATACAAAAAAAAAACATGCATTTAGTGATAAATAAGAAAAATAATGTTAACATAATTAAAAATTCACTGCCAAAACAAATATTAAAGTTACTATTCTCTAAAAATTAATTATAACCAGTAAGTCAAATTGATCCTTAAATTTTGAATGAACTCGATTGTAAAAAAAAAAACAATTTATAAGGTATTTGAATTTTTTTTACTTGATTTACTTATTGATTAATTATATAGATTAACCAGTAATAAATAAGTTAACTTGTGAGTTTTAGTTTAAATTATTATTTTATAATTAATATTATTTATTTATTTATTTATTTTACGAATTTGAGATTTTGAATAACTAACTCAATAGTCTTAAATGACTAAGATGTTTATGCAAATTAACTTAGTTTATTTTAGTATTTTATCTTTTTTAAAATTTTAATGTTTGAGTTTATGTTTTTATTATTTTTTTGTCGTTTTTATTTATATTTTTATGATTTTTTAAATTTAGTGAATCAACAAAATTAGTAGATTAAGTTGGGTTAGCATTATTTTAACTCACTCCAAAAAATCAATGGCAACGAGTAAGAGTTACCCTGTAGGTTGTTATTTAGCAAAATCTAGCTTTCTGACCAGCAACAAACAACATCTTCCACAAAAATTGTCCTATAATCAATTGATTCTCTCAATGACGAAGCATTCTTCATAGAAAAAATTCCTTAATCATCGTTTAAACCATTTGGAATTATAATTTTTTGGATCACAAACAACATACACAGGAACATATGGTACTAAATTCATGGCGGGCGATGAATAACAGGATAAGTAAATAAAGGAGAGGTTCTCTCTCCTTTGGCCCAGGTCCAATAGAAGAAAGAGATAGTATTATGAAATGTAAGTTACTACAGAAAAGTCAGTAACACGTGATGCTTGCTTTATCATTAGCTACAAACAGTGGAGGTGAAATCACACTCCATGTTAATATTTTTATATTCCCATGCTTGCTTTGTTTTCTATTCATAAGTCGTCACCTCACCCACAGAAAATTGACAGCCAAAATATATATTCAATTGAAGTTGGTGATGTTGTCATCATCCTCTCCATATTTGTTTTACATGTCATTAAAAATGCAGTGTTGATGTTGCAACTTCTTTTAGTGGTAATAAGTAGCTAAAATTTTGATTTTATTTCTAAGGACCAAGAAATGCAAGATGCATGGATAGTTTGTAAGACAAGTATTAGCTATGGTTAGGTTTGATAAAATAGTCTGTATTAGGAATTACGTAATTAAGAATAACAAACACAGATATAATCAACAAATATCCATTATAGCTTTTAAATTTTCTTGGCTATGTATATATTAGTCACTGTCCAAACTTAGACTGAGGAGGGGCAAAACATATCAGGGAATGATCATGGTGTTCCCAAAAAATAAGACCAGTTAGGCAGGACATGACCCATTTCTAAACCCCATTGGCTTGGATTACAAAAGCAAGAAAGTTGAAAAGCTAAGGAAGGATGATAATTTTAGGGTAGGACAAGACAGTCCACACCAGGTCAAAGATGAGCTAAGATTACATTTGTGTAGTGTGTATGTATTTAGCCAATAGCAAAGATAGGCATTTAAATAATATTATATATGACAACACTGTTCAAGTCATTTCTATGATCTTACAAATAAAGTATTCTCTCCTCTCTCACTATCCCTTTCTCCCACTCCCTTTTCTTTTATTTGACTACACTAAACTCCCTGAAAGAGTGGAACTATGTAGAGATAAAAGGATGGAGTAATAAATAGTGTTTTGAGCAATGGATTTTGGATTAGCAGTGGGGTCGTACGCATGATGAGGTTGTTGTCATTGTTTGTGACTCAGGAGGTGGCAATGCAATAGGGTTCCCAAAACAGAAAAGACCTTCTAGAATCCTTGCAACTCTTCAAATTATGCACCAAGTAATCACCATTCTTCCCTCTTAGAATCAACAACTGCTTTTGCTCATTGGAGACCTTGTTCATGTCCCCAGAGACAACAACCTTATTGCTTTTCAAGGGTGACTCATTGTTTTGTTGATGATGTTTGTCTTTGTCAAGTGGGTTAACACTGGTAACTTTTGATGGAGGCTTGGTCCTCCAATAGTACTCATAAGCATTAAAATTGAAAGAAGCTGCTGCTGCTGCTGCAGCAACTGATGCCACAGCTGGTGCTGATGGAATCAACCTAGCCACCCTTGGCCTTGGAGGAAGTGATTGTGCCACTTGACTTGGTTTCACTTCCATCACATTAACATCCTCAAAATTGGTCATTTCATTGAACTTCTCTGACCACTTTGGGTTCCTATTCACCAACCCATTTGGCTTATTCATCATCAAAGCCATCCCACGAACACCACTACTTATCCCACTTGACAACAAAGGCGCTTTCTCCATCACACTCTCCACATCCCTATCATCACTCTCATATTCCACAGCCTCTTCTTCCTCTTCACCCTCATAGTATTCTTTTCCTCCAAAACTCTCTTCCTCCAACTGCTCCACATCATCATCATTCTCTTCCACCTCCTCCTCCTCCTCCTTTTGCTGATTGGCAAAAGTGAGTACAAGACGACCCTCTTGGCGTTGAACATTAAAATTGTTAAGAGAAGGAACAGACACAGCTTGGAGGACCAACCTTCCATTGTCACGATGGGAACGCATGTGAAGTGAGGGACTAGTTTGATGATGAGAGAGTGAAGGAAGTGGTGGAGGGAAAGAGCGTGGTGTTGAAAGCTTTTTTGTAGCTGTTGCAGCATAATTGTACTTTGGCACTTGTAACTCTTCTTCTTGCTGTTGTTGTTCTTCATAAGTAACTTTCTCTTCTTCTTCTTCCATATCCCCTGTTTCAGATGAAGGGGAAGAGGAAAACAAGCCATCAGAGCCAGTTTCGGAGCCAAGACTCTCAGTGCAAATTTCAAGGCTCTTTTCACTCAAAGAGCTTTTTGATCTTTTCACGAGAGGGTGAACATAGGGAGTCACAGGAAGAGATTTTGAGATTTCATCATTGGCCTTGAGGGATACGATTGAGCTCCATGTATCAAATGGCCCCCCTTTCTCTTGCTCCTCCTTTTTGTTCCTTTGGATTGAACTCCAAATCTCAAGCCTCTCTCTTTCAGCTTCAGCGTCAAGATCCTTGTTCTCTTCATCTTCAGAAGAAGAAGAAGAAGAGGAGAGTGATTCAGCAATGGTTTTGGAATGCAAGAGTTCCTCACATGAAGCAATGTTCTTCATGCTTTGAGAGAGCCATTTCTTTGATGACATGTCCGCAGAAAGAGTCCTTCGTAGAGAAGAAGACGCTGAGGCTGTGTTTGAGTCCAAAATGGTGATGATGCCTTGCTTTTGCTTCAGCATCGTAGTCTCTTCCTCTGTCTTTACAGAGGAAGATAACAAGCCTTGTTGGCTTTGAACTTTGTTGTTGGTCAAAGTCATAGAAGTTGCTGACATGTCCAATAACCCAAAGGTGAAGGAAACTAGTCTCTTAGCTGCCAAAAACAAGTAACATGAATTTAGAACAAACCACCAAATAACAACTACATCCCCAACAAATAGGAGCAGTGTACGTGAAGTGAGTAGCAGGCGTGCAACGGAAAGAAAATTTCAAGTTTCAAAGCAGAGTCAGATAGGTAACATGCATGTGGGGTTTTGGAAAACGCACATTAAGTAAGATAGTATTAAATAATATGTGTTTACTATATGAAGAGTATAATAAAAATTAAATAATATCCTTTATGAAATTTATTTTTTTAGTTGTATGTAAAATTTTTAATTATGAAAGAAAAAAAGGATGGAGTATTATAAATATAAATAAGCAATGGAAAATACAAAGTATGTGAAATTGAATTTACCTGAAGCAACACAACAACATCCAACAGAGGTCTCTAGTTAGAGACCACTGGGAGTGCAAGTTGCAAGGAGGGGGTGATGATGATGAGGTTGAGGATGAGGATATGAGGATTTTAGTGTGTTGTGTAAGTACAATGGGCAGTAGAGGAATGGCTTGTGGTTGATGGCAATGGAGGGAAGGGGGAATGAGGGTATTTGTAGGGGGCCAAAAGCTTTAAGAATCGTGTTCAATGGACCCCACTTGCGCAACGGGAAAAGACCCATTTATTGGTTTCCATTTTTTCAGAAAAATGGGTTTATTGGCACTGTTTAGGTGTAAATGTTTGGATAGGGATAAAAAAAAAATGGATATAATTCAGTGTGATTTTGTAAGAAGAGAGAAATAGAAAGAGATAAAGAGAACTCCTAGGGACATTATATATATTCTTAATTATTATCTAAGTTTTATTAAAAATATAAAAATATTAAATAGAAGTGGGAATGAGTAAAATTCATTCGATTATGATAGTTTTCTATAGGTTTTAATTGATAAATAAAATTGTGTTAAAAATATTTTAAAATGTATTATTAACTCTTTCAAGAGATAAAAGATGTTAATTGAGGGATAATAATGTTAGAGTGTTTATATGTGGGATTTGTTTATTATTATGGATAGAGGTCTGTGATGTATTCTGAAAACGAGATCGTGTCTATTTATTTTAGATGATTGAAAGCTATAAATTCATGCATATTGTAAATTTATGAACATGTTGTCATGTAACGGGAATGAAATTATGTATCTGTGCTTCTTATCTTCTTCTGTATACCTCCGATGAAAAAAATATAATATCTGCACAGAAAATAATATGGTGAAAACTGAAAAGAAAGCATGCATACGTAAGAATACAGCCTTCAAATGTTTTAATATATTAATGTTATGTATAATTATTTTGTCTGTATCTTTTTTTAATAAATATTAAATAAGTTTAATATATGTCAAAAGATAAATAAATAGACTAAATTTTATGTTGAGCATTAAATAAAAAGTTCTGTTAATCTCAGCTTTTAGAATTAAGTTTAAATATTTATAAATAAAAAAAATATATAATTATTATATTAAAATTATAAAAATATATTAAATATTTTTTGATAAAATATTATTATTATTAACTGTTTATCTTATTTTTAAAGAGTAAAGTCAATAAAATCTTTAAATAAAATACAAATAAATTGAACTTTAAATGTGACCTATTTTATATGTATGAGATGGATCAATTTCCAAACATGTATATACAGATAAAGTCTAACATGAATTATGAACAGGGGTCATAAAAGTAAGAGAGATATTATTTTTACATGCACTTTTTCCAATACATATTTATAACTCTTTTGTTCATTTATATTATCAATTTTATTAATAGTTTAAGGATTATAAATAATAAATTTTATTGCATATATTTTTATTGTTTATTTTTAATCTTAAAAGTTAAAATTAATATTGTTATATTATTAATTTATTTTAATTATAAAAATGTTGTATAAAAAAAAATAAAGTAAAAGTAACCCATGATTCACATTCACACCTCTCCCACTGAAAAAATGTAAAATAAAATAACGAAAGAAACATAGAAAGTGAGGAAATTAATTTGCACCATAACCTTACTCAATGGAGAAAAAGCAGCTAGCATGTACATTAGTATTGTTACCAATTAGGTAAGACAGAAAATGACATTTATTGGGTGAAATTGGCTTAAGATGGAAGCAAAGGAATCAACTTTGGGGAGAGGACAATGTGATTGGCGACTAGAAACCCGCAACTCAATCCCATAGCCTGATAGAAAGAGAATACACTTACATGTATATATTAATTTAAAATAGGAATAGTTTAATCACAAGGAATAATGTATGTGGAAACAAATGAACGCGCGTCACGTCTTGATTTTGGGGGACCCCTTTTGGATACAAGCCTCACTTCATCTCTCCTTGTTTGGCCACTGTAGTTTTTGCATTTGTGCGTGTATAAAGTCATGTGGTTTTATACAGATAAAGGACCAATACATTCACCGCTAGATGGACACTAAAAGGTGATGATGTTGATCAATTCAAAGAGTATATAGAATAATACCATACGAAATACCAAATAGCATAAACAAATTATTAATGAATGAATACAAAGAGCAATTCAAAACCAACTACTATGCTTTGCCACAAACTGAGGAACGCAGAGAGAGTAACCAGATGCCCCTTGTCTGCCTATAAACTATAAAGCAATGCCACTCAACCTACAAAGCTTATCTACAATGTTCAACGCTATAGGCTCTCCATATTTTTATTTTTCTTTTCAATTTTAACCAAATGCTCGACTACCCAAATGCCAAGGTAGATGCCACTCCCAAGATATTTACATGGCAACTGGCAAGCACCACTCACTACTTAGCATACACCTTCATTTCATATTTTATTTTCTTTTGCTCCAAAAATTATATCCAACCATCAAAGTTTGTGATTGTGAGCAACTTTGTATAAATTCTCGTAGCCCGTGTCACATAAAGTTAACTTTTTAAGTTTTAACCATTCATTCTGTAAGAAAAGTGTGATTGGTGATGTTATTTATGCTAGGTTTCTTAAGTATTATAGCAATATGGACTAATGTATGGGATTTTTTTATACTCTATTTCGCATGATCAACTAATTAACTACCATTGCACCCCCCTAATGATTATAATGACCTAACTCTTAGTGAGTATGTCCCTCAACCTAAAAATGGAAGGGTTATCCCCAAAATTGATAGATTGAGATGTTGGGTCCCAAATTCGGACGGGCAAGGCCTAAGCACATTTGGTGGAGTTTAAGCTTTACAACTTCTAAAAGTCATTTCAAACGCTGATCATTTATTATTTATCCCTTTAATAAACCAAATGAAGAAAGAATCACATTCCAGTTGCTTGGGATGTGAAACGGATAAAGAACTCTGATGCAATCGATCGACAAGGCTCATCAATCAAGGCTGTTGATAAGTAGATACATGTTTTTCATATAAACATCCTTGTAATAGTTTTTATAACAATTATTAAAAATAAATTGGGCCTACAAAATTTTGTAATCAAAATCTTAATTAACGTGGGTCGCCTTAATACATTCTCTTACCCCTAAAGAGTCACTATTAATGCATTAACCGATTAACTGAAATTCATTAACATTAATTATTCACTCTCACCTTTTTTTCACATTGAAGCAATGATTTGAGTAGAAAGATATATTTCGAACAATGTACGGATATATTTATAAAAAATTATATATTTATTTTATTAATAATGACTATTTGTATAAATAATAAAAAAACTTATAGTTTTAAAAACTTGTTTTAATGAAAAAATATTAATTAATAAAAATATAAAAATACTTTTATCTGAATAATTAATTAAAATTAAGTTAATGTCAATTTAATTTAATGTGAAAGTTTATGACATGTTTCACAATATATATGGATTTAATTTTGGTGTATATGTGTTTATGTAAATTAAGTTACTTCAATTTAATAATTTTTTATAAATATAAAAGTTTGTCAATTAAATTGTTAATAAAATTATATGTTTATATTATATTTTATATATATATATATATATATATATATGAAAGAAATAAATATATAATTTTATAGTTAATATTTATTTATAATATATATATGGAAGAGATAAAAATAATAATTTTTTATTTATTTAACTATTGAATTATAATTATATATTATTTAAATTATTTGTGTAAAATTATTTTAAAATTGAACTATATACGTGATTAATTACCATGGAAGATAATGAAAAACGGCGTTACACCATCTCGTTCTCGTGGAACACATATGGTGTTTAGTGGATGAAAGTTGTGCTTGGCATATAATTTTTAAAAGGTCTTGAGAATCTAGTGCTAAGCAAAGTGTGAGATTAACGAGCCAAGATTCATAAGCTTTACATTATTTAAAGAAAATATTACGGGAAAACAAGCGGTGGTGATAGCGGCAAAAGATTCATTTCATAAATTCTTTTGATAAGGATAAACACAGAATTAAGGAATTAATGGATATGCGTACGTTTAAATAGATGTTACAAAAAAATAAATAAAGAGAAGGTGACGTGACATTTAACGAAAGAATTTCTGCTATTATTTACAATATCATTTAAGAAAGGACGGTGCTATTTCTCAAATATTATTTTTTTGATTTTTACCGTACATAGTAATTTTATATAACTTAAAAAAAATTATTCCTTATAAAGAATTTATGTAAATTTTTTAAAAAAATATCGTTAGTTTGATGCTTTTCCCCCCATAATGTTTGCCCTAAATAACCTAAGCCTTTGTCGGTTAAGGCTCGCTTTATTAATTCATGTAAACGGAGTTTACATATTTATTAAATTAAAAATTTATAGTAACTATGACATTAGACTTCCAGTGATAAAAGTTGTGATAATCATTGGAAATATGACGGTGATAAAGATTATTAAAAAGTTAAGACATTTATAAGAGTAACACTAGCTAATAGTGTTTATAACAATAATAATTTATATAGTAATGGTTGATTGATTGTAATAATTATAGTAATTCTAGCAGTGATAGTATCAAGTAATAATTGTAGCAATTGATTGATAGTTACAACATAGTTGTGGATCTTTGCCAGATATATCAGTTTAATTCCTTATTTTTATAAAGAAAAATAAAAAAATGTTATTTTTAAAATTAAATTAAAATTATTTTAAAATTAAGTTAGAAATATTGTTACCTTATAATAGTTAGTAATTTAAAATTTTAAGATTTATCTAATATTTTTATAATTTTAATTAATAATTAAAATATATTTAACAAATGTGTTACTAATATTCTCTAAAATGACATATTAGAACTGTTTGATTTATTAAAAAATTTATATAATCACTAAAATAATATCAATGGTAAATTTGTATTTACAAAAATATTATTAAATGGGTCAAATATTTAAAACTTACTCTTAAAATGTATTTTATTGTCTGGGTGAGAGAGATGATACTCTAGCTAAACAATTTCATTTTGATTTAATTGGCCAAGTCACTCACATACATGTCACATTTTAACTTAACAAATCAGCTCATTGAGGGATGAAATAAAATTGAGGATTTCAAGTCCGAGGGAGAAAATATGTTAAACTTTACTAATTATATAT